AACACGACACGATTCTGATTGCCTGGTGGTGGAAGTATTGTGCAGGATGTCACCCTGTTATTTACAATTTGGCATTTACACACGTATCACAATTTCAAGATCTCGACTTTACCTTGAAAAATCGGACCGAGATAAAAGGTTTTTAATTTTTTTTCCAAGCTTTGGTGTAGGTAGTTACTAAAATTTGACCTTTTTAACTGGAAAAATTATTAAAATGACGAAAACGAGTAGCAAAGATGGGTTCAATAACTAGTGTATGACCAAGTTAGTTAGTGCGTGGATTTGGAAGGATTAAAGAGGTGGGATCTTGTATTATAGAAAAAGCGGACTAAATATTTATTAAGAAATATGAAATTCACATTATGATATTTTTAAGAATTCGGACATGTTACTTGTGTGTGGGAACAGATAACATAAGTGAACCGTATTACTCTTCATATATTAACATGAACCGAAATAAAGTTTGTAAACGAACTATCTAAAGCAACAGCTTATACCTAAATAAAATCTATAATCACTGATTATTGCTATTGTACAGATTTATACATAATAACAGCGTCTTTAGTTATTTGGCAAACTAGTCAAGTAACCAAATTAGCAGTAACCATGTTATATAATATACTGGCCCAACTACATCATTGATGTTTTCCTAGAGAAGAAAGATTTTCTGCGCATGCTTCTACATTTCACCCACTAACCTGGATTGCAAGATTTTCTTACTAAACAGCGATTTTCACACACTGAACAAATAAGGTTATGGGTTAAACACGAAATTTAAAATCTCGCGCATGCGCATGTTGAATGAACTTTTTTTTTGTTGAACAATTTTTTCTATAGTTGCCTCATAGGTTCCTGTATTATGTTTTCTGTGGACAGCTGAAATATAGAAGAAATTCATTTGAAAATTATCCTTATAGAAGGGGTTATTTTATAAATAAATACAAAGAGTAATTAAAAATGTAACTGAAAAAACCGTTAGTTGTTTTATTTTTTAAATAGAAACACCCTATTGTTAAATCTTTGTCGTATTTAGGATTTAAAAAAGGGTAACTTTGTACAAAGTTTTATGCCACCTAACTAACTTTTTATTGTTGATAATGAGTGAGCCTTAAACTTTGCAATCGCGGTTCTAAAATCCATGCACAAATGTTTCAACAACAAAAAAAGAAACATTTAAATGGAAAATACAACATTTTTTGATTTTTTATGCATTTATTCAATATCTGCGTTTATTATTGTGTTTACTTATCATATTGTAATATGTGGTATAAAGAAATATACTTTATTTTACTTAAAGGCTTTAATATATCATTGAATTCACGATCAGAGTATGATATAACTTTCTGGGTAACTTAAATTTATAAGGGTTTATTAGTGCAATTATCAGACATTAGTTACGCATAGTTTCTTGAAGTACTTCTCTTTTTTTTGCGTAGCTGCCAAGAAAATGCCGTCTCATCGCAGTTTTTCCTTGACGCAAAACCACTTTCAAGCGCGATAATATTTTCGTATATACGACGGATGTAAGCAACAACAAAATTCTAAGATATGAATGGATGCCTAAGTGTTTATTCAGCTCTACACTGAGGTGCGAACATATTGTTTCGAAACGTTATCTCAATGAGGAATTAATTAGAGATGCTAATAAAATTCGAAAATAATATAAATCATTTAAAGTGAACCATTAAATTATTATTACCTTTTCATAGCAATGTGTTTTTTTCTCTATTAGGAGTTTGAAATAACATGTTCGTTTAATATTAACAAGTATAACACAAAATTTCTTATAATATGACATTTTATAGTAATGTAGAATTGCGTAGGAAATTTGAATTAAGTCCAAAAAATACAAAAAAGAGAAAAAACACCAGATAAAATCAACGTTTATTGATTAGTATTTAATTTAATTTTAATCGACAATTTTCAATTCGCAGCATATTGGAAATAAATCGCTGATTCTTATTATTTATTTATTTTCTGAGATCGCCGAAGTTACACCCTTTTTCTAGCTTTTTGTGACTCGAGAAAGCAAATTTCTCGTTTGATTCACAATATTTGGTTTGTTTTATTTTTTATTATTTTATTTTTATTATTTTAATTATTCTGAAGTCCCTAGAAAAGGTTAAATTGAAACCCGAAGAGGTAGCTTTAATTCTATTACCCAGCAAATACAGAAAAAAAATCTAATCTTTTGGGAAAATTTAAAAAAATCAAGGAAATGATAACGGGGTTAATATATAAGGATGCCTACTACTTTTTTTATTAAAATTTTGGTGAAGAGAGAATTAATTTGAGTTTTAAAGAATTACTTGCATATTTAGAAATGCGTTTTACTGCTATGAATAGTACCTCAGCAGTGGTTTTGACACCTATTAAGTCGTATTTAAATGTTCATCATTTGTCACAGCTTCTCGGTATATTCAATGAGTCATCGAGCGTTTGCAGTATTTTAGTCACGAGCATAGTATAGTATGCATCAAGTTTTGTGATAGAAGATGCTGATGACTTTACAGGAAATGCTAACTTGCTTTTGACTCATTCTTTCACTTGTATTAACTTAACCAAAAGCTCGGTAGTTTTGTTTGTCAAAAAAAGAGAGTTTGAATACCTTGACTAAGATGTTGATAAACTTCAGTTGCATAAAATACTATATAATAAAAATTATGAAAATAAAATAAAAGACCGGTATGTTTTCAATTTTCGTAATTTATAAAAACACTATGCATATTATCGACAAATCAAACTAATCCAAATTATGGGCTTTGCTTTCCTTCGCATATACACTTTTGGGGTGTGCGCTGGGTTTTTGCCTTTGTCCGTGGCCAAGGCGCACGTGGTAACTACGCTTTAGCATACAATAAAGCAAGGGCACCCTTTTGTCCTCAAGGCGGATAAATCAAATAATCAAGAACGGTAGAGGATCAGGCAAGCAGACCCGACTGGTAATCGGCGTTTGGAAGGACCAGGACCATCTAGTGTGAAATATACTACCGGTCATTTGGCTATGGATGTTCACGCAGCACATGAAAAATCAGATTCGGGAACAATTCCTAAAATCCAGCTAAGGAAATCAATCGACTTGGCTACATCGAACGTACAAGGATTGTTGTACACTCGAAAGACATTCTTTTTGGAACAGAATTTAAACGGAACTAAATACAAATTTGCGGAATATCTGAAACTCACTGAAGCGGCGTAGCATCGGTTGTGCATAGAAACAGCTCCAAATATGTAATAGAGTATAATCCTGTCAACTAAGCTTCACATAATTCAATTATATATGAGCACACTCGAAATACCAGATCAAAAATTAGAGGAGATGTACAGTATTTTGGGATGTGAAATTTCTCCAATTGGTTGTTATGGGCGACATCTGCGCAAAATTCGAGTCTTAAGTTAAAATCTGCTTCTTGTAGTTTTTGTACTGGTGTGAATTTAAATGGCTAATAACTGTTACTTTTTAAACATGTTTGAAGTGTGGTTCGTCTACATCTGAAGCGACAAGGTGGTGGACGTCTATGGAGTATTTTCAAAATACAGAAGAATATTTAGCCGCATATTTTCATCCAAAACCGTTCGGCTCCTCCTTTTTTTCACTAAAACACTGCCATTTGTTCGAAACTGCTGGTATATTTTGTCAAATGCTTCTTTTCCTGGCAACCGCCTATGGGGAAATTTGGTTGTATATTGTCTGAAAGCAAAAGCCGGACTTTTGTTATTGGTGATGCATACATGTCACAAAATAGACTCAACAAAAATGCAACTTAATAAAATAAATAGAAAATAGTTTAAGTCCGAAAAAGTACGCTTATAATATTATAACACAATGATACCTGTAAAAAAATCAGTAATATTACAACAATAGAGAACTACTATTGTTTTCAAAGCTACTGCGATGATTATGTGAAAAAGTAAAAAATAATAATATCAATTTTGGGTTTATGTCTTTGGACATATTATTATTATTAAGAATGTGAGAAGTTTTTTTCTATTTAAGAATCTTATTTATAGGATTCTTAAATTATGAATGTAAAAGAATTTATTTATTATTGGAAAATAATTGCCAATTAAGCCAAAACGGTAAGTCAGAGACCCTTAATATGTTATATATTTGAAATTGCTATTAAAGTGGCTATTATACAGTGTGTCTCATTTAAGAAAATTGAGGAAAGTATCAACGTGTATTAATTAGTATTTAATTTAATTTTAATCGTCAATAATAATAAAATAATAAATAATAATAAATAAAACGTGACAACACCGCGTATTTTAAGAAAATATTTAAAATTTCATCATTGCTTAAAAGCATTATTTTTGTAAAAATAAAAGAAAAAAGGTAAAAAAGTTAATAAGGAACCCAACAATGATGGTTTAAACATAACCCGAATTCTGAATTCTGAAGATATATATATATATATATATATATATATATATATATATATATATATATATATATATATATATATATATATATATATATATATATATATATATATATATTGGAAAAATGTGATGACACTATATTCCGGGATATCATCCGTTCGCTTGTTGAACTCCGGACTGCAATCCTGCAGACGTTTTCGAATAGCGTATTAAAAATTTGAAAATGCGTGACAATAAAACCATTGGTATCGTTTTGATCTGTGATGGGCTATTGTAGGGTTCAAAATAGTACGTGTCAAAGAAACACGTAAACAATCTCAGTGCGATAAACATGAGTGACTTTTCAAATTACACACAGTTTAACTTCAGATTACTCGTTATCAAAGAGCTACCGTTTAAAAAATTTTGGAGGATGGAGCTAGTTTTCTTTTCATTGGCCGTTATGTCATCAACATGCGCAAATGAAAACAATGTATATTCTGAGAGGCACTCCAATTAGGGCAGATAAAAAGACAATAGAATCCAGATTCGAAAAAAAACACATTGCATTTGATATGGAAATACTTTTGCGTATTTGCAAATCGCTGATAAAAACGTATCGCTTCGGGGTGATTTAAAATATTTTTGCTCTCTAGCGTACAGGTCAGTCCTACGCCATCTTGGCTGCAAGTTATTTTCTGTTATTTGGGTGAAGAAGGATACTAAAATGACCTGCGAAACAAAATGTGGTAAGTTGTTAGTGCTTGTGCGCACAATTTAGGCTTTTGGACACTTGAAACTTCATAAACTGTCAACTTCTTTTTTGTTCCATTTATATTCCGTGGTTCTTCTTGTCTTCTAAGTAAGATATACGCGTATATAATTTTGTGAATTTGTGAACACAACAGGTTTTCGATTCTTTGTTGGGTAGTAAAATTTGGTCAGTTTTAACTGTTTTCAGCTTTTTATAGATTTGTATTTTTTATAAGTTTATATATTTATTTAAGCATGTATTGAATGCCTTTCTACGTGCAAAATAAATAGTATTTACTTTTTATTTAATTATTTGTTTCATAATAAGTTGACGTATTTAACCTCAGAATTTACTCTAAGAATAATTACATTTATCTTAATTGAATAGTTTAAGTAAAAATATTTCACAAAAAAAAACAAGAAAGAAATAAGAAATAAATTAAATTTAGTTTGACCGAAAAATACTGATAGTTAACTGTTAACTGCTAGTAACTGTGTTAATTTCTTTTCAAAAGATATATTGGTTAGTTGCTCCCTAACTTTATAATATTTTTGGGAACATTCATTATAGTTCTAGCGTTCTATTCATTACCACCATAGCATTACAACATCATTTTTATTACAGTTTTGGGCAGCCTGCTATGTTATTAACAATATTATGTACAAAAACACCACTCCATACTATTCGCCTAACAGATAGCTTCAACATGATAGAAGTCAAGGCTTACTTCATACGATAGACTAGTCACACTTAAAATAAAACCCAAGTTTTTATACACTTTTTTCACTATGCATTCAACATGAATTTCAAAACTTAGTTTAGTGTCTCGAATTGTTCCAAGATCCCTACACCATTGAAGTTGTAATCAAAAGCTATACCGGGTGATGCAGTGCCGAACGGAACTATAATTGGAGAGTGGAGAAAACCAAAATGTTTAGTACGAGACTACTTGGACAAACCATAGTGTTGCGTACATTAAAAAAACACAAATATTTTTCCTATAAATACGAAAAGCACCCCGACCTCCGGAAAGGCGATGTATAAAGAAGAGTAGCATTCACAGTTGCACTCAACAACGAACCAAATGTTCAAAACTGTCGGTGTTGGAGCCAAGACAATGAATATCGTTTTATTCAAACTCGAAGTCAATATCCTCAAAAAATAAATCTTGTCGTGGGAATTTGGGGACATTCTGTTATTGGGCTATTTTTAATGGACTATAACCTCAAGGCAGAATCTTATTTGAACTTATTATTGAACAAGCCCTAGAAGAAGTTGTTCGCGAAGATCAGGAGATTTGGTACCAGATGGATCGTTGTCCCGCTCATAATTCCCATATGGAGTATGGAGGGAGTATTTGGGAAATATTTTTAACGGGAATATTACTGCAAGGTGCCGAATCCTTTGCCTACGCAAGTCACCTGACCCCTCGTCGGACAACTTCTTTTTGTGGGGTCATTTGAAATGTGCATATAAAAATGTAAAGTAATAAAACACTATTTCCTTAGGATGCGACATGATTTCACAATTTTATGATCGTTTAGGATATTGAATAACTGTTAATGAAGGGTTATTTCAAAATTAACTTAAAAAATAATGTTAATTTTAACTAATGTTTTGTAGTCGTCTCTTTATTATAATTATTAATTACTTTAATAAAAGGCTTGGGGGTCAAATGTATCGTAGTTCCTTGAAGCTTCGTTGTTGCTTAAAGCGTCTTAATCAAATTCCAAGAACACTTTTAAGGTCAAGAAGGTCTTAAGAGCCGCGTATTACATATTTAGTTTATTTTGAATGTGTGAAACCAAATGTGCATACCTTTATTGTAAACTAACCTTTATTTGATGTCATTTTCCAGCTTAGCGTCGTCAAGTTTTGGAAATAGCGCCGCCGGTATTTGTTCTACTGACCTTTTGCAATTTTTTCATCACATTTAATGCAATGCAAACTCCCCACATGAGGTAATCATATCTCATTCAGAAAGATATATTACAACTTCGTTATCAAATGTACAGGGGACCCAAAATTTGGGCACCTAAAATTTTTCATTGGAATTGCTATGTTCCGTTGGGCAATGCATCACCCGGTATACATTTCTGGTTTACTAAACTTAAGACAGTAACATTTGTCAATATTTAAAAAAAATCGATTTCTTACGCAGTAGTCATAAAACCTATCAAGTTCCTCCTGAAATCTGCGACAGTCATCGGTGCTTCTTACAGACGTATGTGCATTTATCCGCTTCCGCTATGAACAAAAAAACCAGCACAGGTCCCAAGTGCGATCCCTGAGATATACCATATCAGTAGATTTAGTTTTAGTCCCATTTGACTTTACATACTGAGTCCTAGAAGTAACGTTTTTGTAAAATGTGTGTACACGGCATCAATTTGCGCTCTATTATCTAACACTTCAGATATATCCTGAACATACAATGATAGATTAGTTAGTAGTAACGTAAAGTAAATAGCTCCTTTGTTATAATTTCCTCAAGCAGTTTGCTTCAAATAGAAAGCTTTGATATGGGCGGATAGTTTATAATATCAATCTTACTGTCATTCTTATAAGCAGGTACTACTACTACTACTACTACTACTACTACTAATAATAATAATAATAATAATAATAATAATAATAATAATAAGTTTATTTATCAATCAATACAAGCCACAATATCACGACTACAATATAACGCAATTCATACAAATTCCCGTAAATACATAACCAACAAAAAAAAAACGTTAAAAATAAAATTAAACCAAAGATTATTTAGTAGAAGTGGGAGTAAAATAATTATGATTATTTGATAAATAGACTAAAATAGCACCAAAGAAATACTTCTTGTGTTTGGTCCATTTTCCAAATAGTCGGGAAGTTCCTTTCTGACATTTATTAAGGATAGCGGTAGCAACAAAGGCTTATGTCTGATACAGCTCCATTATTATGCGACCAAATTAGTTTCGGGCTGAATCATGCCATTATGGCAATCATTTAACCAACCTATAACCATAATACATAAAATTTAATACAACATTCAAATGGCTGAGGTACAATTTAAAGATGCGTGATTTCACTCTAGAATTCCCGAAGAAATCCATTCATTCGACTTTACATGACTTTTAACAGTATGACGTCATTAATCATCAAACAAATAAAAATATATTAATTAGTGTTTTATTTTCATTGTTTATTTATGCAATTCGCTATATTATTACCATTATTATTGTTATTAAGAATTTTTTGTATTTTTATTTTATCATTTTCATAAGCCAATAATTCTTCATCAAACAAATAAAATTATATAAATTAATGATTTCTATTTCTTTCCACTGGCTTCGGATCAGCGTTTTGCAAATATTATTATTATTATACTGCCTTTAATTTATTTCAGACGTTAATTTTGTTTTGCCTGATATTTCATCTAAAAAGGGGGGTTTTTTAATCGAATGTCAATAATTAAGGGGATGATTTTTGGGTCCATTTTGAAAAGAAAACTTCATATGAATATATGTCGTAAACGTCTTAACTTGTGGGAGTGTAAAGTTTTAAAAAAATATATATATATTTTTTTAATATCTGTAATACCACTTTAGATATGTACCATTTTTTTTTAAAATACACCAGTGGCGGGCGTACAGAATTTCACGAGTTTATTTTTTCAGACATTGACGGTTCGCCACCGATTTCTCCAAATCGCCAATCATTTATAAAGTAATTTAATTGCTTCATTTTTTCAATTGGACGAACGGTTTTTGCTTCAAAAAAATAAAAACTTATAACAATTTCGTCAATATGACATTAGGATATCAAATCTGTTCATAAGTGAATGCGAATGTCATTATTTTTTTAAAAGAAATCAGTGGCGTGTCACTGACTGTCTATGAACAAATAATATTTTGGTTAATTAGATCCACACTGCACTGGTTAAATCGAGAACTTATTTCTGAGATATAAAATATCTATCTAGAATAAAACATGTAGTTTTTAGTTACCTTCAAAAAGAAAAATTAGAAGTCTATTCTTTTTATTTTTTATGCTACCCACTAATAATATTTTTCAACAATGAATAAATCAACAATAATCTTTTTGAAAAAAAAGTATAACATAAATCTCAGGAAGCCCTTATATGAAACTGCAGCTCTTCTATAGTGTTGCGATAAACCAGACTTTTAAGATGCCCCAAAAGAAAAAGTCCAAACTATTTAAATATAAACACTAAAGTGAGTAGGCGCGCCGTCATGCATGAACCACATTCTGTTCCTAATTAAATATGGTACTTCCTCTAGCAATATTGGCAAATCCTAAAAAGCGGCGATAATTATTTCCCATAATTTCAGCCCAAACATTTACCGAAAATTGTTCTTCATGTTTAAATTCTACAACTGCATGGGGGTTTTTATCTGCTCAAATATGGTTGTTGTGGAAATTTCTGATTGCATTTCTTGAAAGCCTAGCAATGCGCAATTTTGTCCAAAAACTATTGATAAAAAATAACACGCGATGGGAAATATCTGGGAAGTAATGGTTTTATTAGTTGAATATGATATGGGTACAATACAAATAGTGCAAATTTTTACAAACCAAGAGGTGCAGATATTCAGATTATTTCCAATTTTTCTAGTATAGGTAAATATAAATTAAGGATTTTCATTTATATAATTTAAAACTGCTTCTTCAATTTCTGGAGTTCTTACAGTCCGATGGGCCCCTTTCAAATTATTATTGGCCCTCAATGTAACTGTTGCAGTCAACTTTCTATATACTTTGAAAATGTTCGCCTATCAGATATGACTATTGATATAATCTCCTAGCTTTTGCTGTCAGCCAAACCATAAATAAAATGCATATCAACCATTATTTTTTAAAATATCAATGCTCGGATATTTCAAGCATCAAATTAATAAGACGCGAATTCAAAAACTGATGTCAAACATCCGCCTTGATAACAGAGTTAATAAGTCTTACAGCTTACTACAATAATAAGAAATAATTATAAAGATTTCAAAAATACACCTCAGAGTTTACTTATTTTGTTGAACCATTTTAATAAAAGAGATAGACAATTATTTAAGTAAGAAATAATAATGATAATAATTTATAAGCTGTCATGTTAACGATATGCAGATAAGAGGTTCTTATGTTTTTAAGCGAATACCGTAAACCGGATTAAAAAAAAACAAGAAATTAAATTTCTATAGTAATGATTGGCGACTGTAAGAATAATTTTTATTTTAAAAGTAATTCCGTACGCCCGCCACTGATGTATTTGAAAAAAAATGTGGTACACTAAATAATGCCTCTTTATACATAGTAGCTGTGTGCCAAATTTCATTAAAATATCTAAAGTGGTATTACAGATATTAAAAAATATAATTAAACATATATTAAAAAAATATATTTAATTTTTAAAAACTTTACCACCTTGTATCTCAAAAGTTAAGACGTTTAGGACATATCTTCATATGAGATTTTTTTTAATGGACTCAGAAAACGCCCCCTTAGTTATTGACATTCAATTAGAAAACTCCGTATATATCGATTATTTAATTATAATATTAAAATTATTGCAATACTACAATGTTACAATCTATAAACCTTCTGGGTTCCTCCTGCATCGGCTATTCATAGATCGAACTTAATTAAGTTAAGCTCTGAAGAAGCAAAACGATTATTAATGATAATGAAACGTAAGCAAGTTTCTCAAAAATGGACTCAGAACAAATCAAGAATATTATTGTAAATAGCATTCTATAAATTGTTTATTTATTTTTACACTTACATTGAAAATATTTTTTGTCTTCGCCTGCTTTACAACAGTATACAATTCACTTTTACACAGTTTTCTTATGGCCAAATGATTATTAATAATTTATATAGAAATTATATGTTGCAGTTGTTACGTTTGGAATTAATTTTATTTCAGAGGGTGAACAGAAAACTTGCGACCAAGTGGAAGTCGACATACCCAAGAAGCACGACATCAACGATGACAAATTTGAAAAGTTTCCTTGGGACAAGCCCCCAATCGATAGATTCAATTTCGTCAAGATCGTGCTATTTATGCTGGGTACCATTTGCCTGTTGCCAATGACATTCTTCATCACCGCGAACGAAGTATACATTTAAAAACGAACGTCTTGCTCCAAAACAACTTCACAACGTATTGCTTTCAGTATTGGATGTACAAATTCCGCAACACCAGCCTGGAATACGACGACCCCAACAACCGCACGTATCTACAGATCAACTTTGCGAGTCTGCAGGCGATCGCAGCGGTTTACCCCATGACCATTATGAATTTCATCGCCGCGTTCGTGGGCCATAAGATAAGGTTAAAGACCAGAGTCATTGGATTTTTAGTCTCTATAACTTTGGTCCTCGCGGCCCACACGATGATGGTCAAGGTCAATACTGACGACTGTGAGTACGAATCGCTCTTCAAAAGTCAGTGTTGACGTTTCTCGTTCATAGGGCAGCTCATGTTTTTCCTGTTTACCATGCTCAGTCAGGTTGTTATAAGTGGTAAGCAATCACTTTGAGTAAAGTCTATTTCAGAAAGGTGTAGAGAAGTAAAATCTTGTTAGCTTTGAAAAAGAACCACAGGCTGACTAAAGGAACACCCAAGCGACTTTCATCGTGTTATTGTTCAAAGTGTTCCATGCAAAGATTGGCTAGTGGAATCCCTAAGGCACCTTAATAAGGCCTTCCAATAGACCTTAGTTACTTTCGAAAAATCGTTTGTCAACGAAACACATATCTCGGCAACGATTGTCCGTAGGGGACCCCCATTGGTACAGAAATGATCAGCGTAGGAAAAAAATCTTTTTTTTTTCTGTTCGCCGTTCTCCGTTTTTCTGTAGGCCGGGTATCATTTGGCCCTAACTCTCGAACGTTTCAACCTATGGGGATGAGATTTGACTCATTTTAAGCAGTCCTAGAGACATATAAGCTAATAAACAACACCGATGTCCATCTTTTTTCTACGATTTTCTACCGTGTTTTGGATATTGCTATGCACGATAAGTGTCCGAAATTTTATGGTATAGAATTGAAATTTAACAGATAAATAGGATTTTATCCTTCAACTGAGCCTATTGAAACTGGGGGGCTACGGGGTCGGAAAGTATTTTCTTAAAATGAAAAACCGCATTTGCAGGGGTCCGAGAAAAAAATCAATTCTCGAAAATCGTTGGTGCGATCATGAAAATTATTGAACAAAAAGATTTGGGACATTAAATGCTCTAAATCATTGTTCTTGACAATTTTTAAAAATATACAAATAAATAAAAATAAAAATATGTGGCCGGTATTCGCAAAAAACTGAAAATTGGGATCCGCTTATAATGATAATTGAAGATAACTTGAGGATTGTGGTTCAATTATTTTTTTCTATTATATGGTCCATATGAACAGCTAAAACTTTTGTATTTAAGGTTTTCACCTATTGTACAGTTTGTTCAAGATATTCTTTACTATAATTAGAAATGTAGCAAGGTTGCTTTCGAAAAATTGTCGGTGGGTGGGGCAAGTTTGTAGCGTGTAGCGCGAACCGGATTTTTATTTCAAAAAGAAGCCTATTAGAGTTTTTATCTTTGAGGGATGCATTGTTTTTCTATCATGCTCCTGCGAGCCACTATAGAATTTCCGCAAAATCGATGTAATTTAATTATGCATGCACCCTGTAAAAAGTGTCTCTCCCATCTCGTCGAAATTGCGATTTAAATTTATATTTTTTCAAATATCTCGCGCACGCTTTATTATATTATAGAAGAAAACTGAAACTCTCTCTCGGCACAGTTTACGATACTGCTCAAATCAAATTATCCCATCTCTATCAAGTTTTCGTTTATTGCCATTAATTTAATTAATTAATTTACCCACATGTCTGCTGGTTAAATAATTTTGCCGATCGGAATAATAGTTGGAGAAAATATTTTTTCTCTGAAAACCAAAATAACCCTAAAAAATATTTAAAAATTTTTGAAAAATACCGCTGTACTTGATTGCGCCAAACTTTAATGGTTGAAATGTGGATCTGGACTTCTACTTTTCTGCTAAATCTGAAGTCGCTAGCTGCAAATTTAGGGCATCTATTACGTTTTATAATATTGCACATTATATCGCGAATACCCTGTACAATGGGTAGAAATCTTAAATGCAAAAGTCTTAGCTGTCTACAGGAGTTATATTTTACTGTAAAACAAATTGACTTCTGAATCGCAGTCTTCTAGTTATGGTAAATTTTCATTAAAACATTTATGCGAATACTGGCCACACACTGTAAATTTTTAAAAATTGTCAGGAATAAAAGTTTATAGCATTGGATCTTGCGGATCTACTGGCACACTATTTTTTTCGATCTCGTTAACTGTTTTCGAGAAATGATTTTTTTCTTCGATCCGTGCAAACGCCGTTTTTAAAGTTTTTAAAATACTTCCCGACCCCCCAGCCTCCCCAATTTCAATAGGTTCCGTTAGGGGACTAAACGCTATTTACTCTTGTCAAATATGAAGCCGATACCTTCAAATTTCGGAAGCTTATCATGTTTCATATCGATGTTCAAAAAAGAGCTGAAAATTAAAAAAAAAGAAGATAGCCACTGAGAATTGATCGCCGCCATTTTTACAGATTTTGTGCAAAAGGCGCAAAATTTGAACCGTCTAAAAGTAAAAAAAAATAGGACCTACCGTTACTGAGATCACGAGTTTACTGAGCAGCGGGTATACTTTTGTTTGTCTAAAATTTGCAGCTTTCGACTTCAAATTTAGCACAGAGATAGAAGTCCACACCAGCATTTGAACTTTTGAAACTGGGCGCCATCAATAATCGCGATGTATTTTTTAAAACAATTTGGATAATTTTTTTGGGTTATTTTGTGCATTTTTGACCCAGTGACGATTTTTCGAAAGCAATGTTGTTATTAGTATCGCATTGACAAAAGGAGATTAGTTTTATTGCAAAAAGTTTAGCTACGCGAATGGCCGAAATTTAAATTGGGCCAAACTGGACGCAATTTCCTATTTCATTACTCTACACTTTTCTGAAATAGCCTGTAGTTATATTTATATGCGAAGTTTCGTTAGCAGTTATTCAATTGGTGATGGTGTGGAAGAGTGATATTTAAATTTACATTTGGTAAGTCGTTTGGTACGAATAATATTACAGTCTGTTGTTATTTTAAATCATTTCATACCCGTTATAATGTAAGACTTGGAATTGGACCAATGAAAAATATAAACCCAATGTTGAATTTCTAAACCAATTAATGTTAGTTTGCAAATAAACACAATTAAAGTTCTACCATATACTCTTTTCTACCACCTTCAAGGAAATAATTAATGACTGAAACAAAAACTGCTGTTGTATGGTGTTTGCTACTAATCAATTTGTTCCTAGTTTCGATCAGAATTAAAAAAAAAAAACAAAAAAATGTTTTTTTAAGACCTGGTGCATATTAATTGAACCAACAGTTTTTGAAAACTGAGTTACAGTTAGCAGCTGCCTTTTTGCTTTAAAACGACGAATGCTTTACACTATTCTGTTTCTGCTTTAATTCGAGAATAGTGCGGATTGGAGAGGTTTGAAGTGATTTTTTATGTGGTGCCATTAACTCTCCATTGGAGATAAGTTCGACCTAATTGACGGCCATTTTTTGAGAGTCTGCTGACATTCTGATAATTCTGCTTCGCGAACCACCCAAACAAACTGACCAAAACTAACCAAATCTTCAGACTTCGATTTGTAGCTTCAAATAATTGAATTCCATTGATGTGGAAAAAAATGGCTCTTCCTTTGCGTAAAACAAAAATAGGGCATGCTAATTGTAACCAATTTGACTTATCTTTGTTTTTCACTTTTTTACATCTTCAAACAAGTATCTGTCGAAACTCCTCAAAAGCGGTTCTGCGATCTTAGAGCCAATAGCATTTATTTTTTCCTTAATATTTCTATTTAGTTTAAATAATGAACACTAATAGACAATAGACAAAATTACAACTGCTTTTTTCCATGGCTCGTTTAAAAATAAATATTTTTGCATCACAAAATATTGAATTAGTGTAGTTGACCCTTATATTACTTATTTTAAATAAGTAAAAATAAGTTCAGAAATGCATCTGTATATCCTCTTGGGCCAATTCAATGCGACTGGGCATTCTAGCTATTACCAAGTTTAAAATATTAGCATTTTTATTTCTTTTCTAAAAGCTAAAAAATTATATCAATTATAATACGAGGGTGGGCTGATAAGACCCGGGCCTGACAAAATACTTCATATTTGTACAAAACTAGTATATTTTGGAAAATGTGCACTTATAAAAAATAACTTTCATTTAAATTATTTAACGTCTGTTCAAGATAAAGGAAAGCTGAAGGGCTCGTCGCTCTGAATTAAAAATAGATCGCAGTGATAAGCTAAGCTCCAGAAGTCCTGTTTGACTCAGCAGAGACTGCAAAAATGTAAAAAGAGCTCGTAAGCAATGTTTCAAAGAATATTTTTCACATGAGGAAGCTCTGTGCAAAATAGATTGGCCGTTTGCTAACGTCTGAGCAAAAGTTGAAAATGCAAACTGTTTAAAGTGAAAATTTGGCACTCTGTAACGCTTCTGAAAATTAAAAACAGTCAAAACATAGACTCCAATCGGCGACACAATTCCAAAAAAGGGAAATGCAATATTATTAGCTAAGCAGGTTTTACCCACCGTTTTTTGGACTTATTTTAATTGATTACTTTGAAAAGGGCAAAACCACCAATGGCAAGTATTGCGCAAATATATTGAAAAAAGACGACATTGTGTCCCATGACATTCGTTAATCATTGCAAAACAGTCAAAACAGTAGACAGCAATCGGTGAGACAATTTAAAGGAGGAAAACGCAATATTATTAGCTAAGCAGGTTTTACCTACCATTTTTTGGACTTATTTTAACTGATTACTGAAAAGGGTAAAATCATCAATCATCATCATCATAGTATTGCGCAAATATGTTGAAAAAGATAACGTTGTGTCGCCATGACATTCGTCAATCATTGCAACGCAGTCAAAACAGTAGTCAGCAATTGGTGAGACAATTCCAAAGAACGGAAACGCAATGTTATTAGCTAAGCAGGATTTACCCACAGTTTTTTGGAATTATTTTAATTGATTATTTGGTTTAGAGCAAGGAATAAAACCGAAAAGAAATTCGCTATATTTCAGACAGAATGTGTAAATTTAGAACAAGAAATAAGTACATGAAAATTAGTATAATTAACGTTCACTACAGAGGAAAAGGAGGAAGAGGAGAAAGAGCAATTTTGTGAAGAAATGCTGCGGGTGTATAGCCAAATCCCAAAGTATGACGTCGAAGTGGTTATAGGGGACTTCTATGCAAAGTTGGGAAAAGAAGAAGCGTACAAACCGGTGATTGGTAACTGCAGTAAGCACGAAGAAAGCAATAATAACGGGAAAAAGCTGATTCATGGAGACAATGGAGACAAATGTGTAACCAAGCTACGGGCCTTCTTGTTCCGAAGAGCTGATTTATGTATGAAATGTTGAAAAGTAAAGCAAAAACATATTAAAAAACGCAGTTTTTAGTTTCCGGAACGGGACTTATCAGTCCACCTTCGTAATAACACAAATTGACCGTATGTCGCAATGTTGGTGACTGTCGAACGATCTGTTGTTGGATTTACTTTTTCTAAAACTACATGTATGCTTGAAAATGTTAAATTATAATTTCGTTATCGTAGTGGTAATGGGAATCGGCGGCATCGGATGTATGACTGTAGCTACCTTTTTTCCTCCGGAATATACCAAGATGTACTTGCTCGGTCATGGGTTGGCCGGAATTCTTACAGCCATCATGAGGCTAATTTCTATAGCCGCATCGCCTTCTACAATAGACGCGGGGTTCATATACTTTTGTACCGGCACAGGACTGATCGGTACAGGGTCGCTTCTCTTTTATCTTGCTACGAGGACTCCGTTTTTCAGGTAACACTTATTTTTTGTTCCAATGGTGGAATATTTGGGTTTTTGCGGGTACGTAGTTTGTTCACGGGATATAATTGCAAGCGTTTACTCTTCCATGAAAGAAATGGTTTTGATATATTTTGAATATTTTTGATAGAAAAAGTTTTTTTTTATGCGAAAAGCAAATACTCCTTTTGCATATAACAATGTCTCATTTTCTCTTTATTGTTAAATAATAACTTACTTATGAAACGATTTATTACATAATGCTTGTATACTATTTACTAATCCTCTGGATCCCTCCTCCGTCGGTTGTTTATAAATCAAACTTGCTGACGTTTCGCCAATCATTTACGTTGTAGAGATCATAATCATCATTATCATCATTAATTTTCTTAAAATATTGCATCTGCTGATAAAATTCGTTTAGCCTAATCTAGTTTTGCTTTACTTCGATTAAGAATTCATCGCAAATCAATAAAACTCTTCTGTATCTACACCTTGAAATTGCTTCATCTTGTCCCCATGCGAGTTCGATAAACTTTCAATCATGATTCATGACAAAATTGAAAATCTTAGTTTATCTTCTACCCAGAATCATCCGCTATTCATTCCCACCTTCTAAAGACAGTGAGTCCAAAAGCAACCCCACACTTGCCACTGTTGTCCTTAATATCTTCGAACTGTGAAAGACAAAATTTCGTTTGAGTACTCTTATAGCATTCCATGCATATGCGGCAAAGAATAAATTCGAGAGACCGAACGAAAAATATCAACTAGGCTCAAAGAGACATGAAAGAGGCTCAAGACTACTAGACATTAACTCATCAGTAGTTGCTGAACACAATCATAAAACCAACCATCCAATCTTATTCAATACAACTAAAATTATTGCATTAAATCCCTTCTTCTATGAAAGAAAAATCCGAGTATATATTGAAATCTATAAACAATCAAACAATTTCAACCGCAACTGATTTCTTTACCTTTCACCGATATGGGAATCCGAGACAACGTTCATGTCCCTCCTTGCCACTTGCCTTGCCCTACACATGCCACTGTCGTCCTTCCTTACATTCAAAATCCTACATGTCAAAAGTTCTTAAGAACTTCCTCAACATTTTCGATCTCATTCAATCTTAACGGACTCATGTACCTTTCACCAATATAAGAATTAGTCATCCGAGACAATGTTTATGTCCCTCCTTTAGCTCTGCCCGCCTCAAACAAATAGAAGAGAGAGAAAGAGAGAGTGAGAAAGTTTTTTTGAAAAATGCTAAGTATAATAAGTTTACATTTGAGTTCAAAGTATTTAAATCAAGATTACTTTTTAATGGTTTCCTAATATTCTGAATATCTAAATGGTGCTTGCTAACACACTTGAGATTCCTTCAGCTTTGTTTTATGGGGTCAGTCACACCGGATTTCTCCCTTTCCCCTGGAGTTGTGTGTTTTGGTGTCCCTGGATCCTCACTTCTTAAGATGTCTGGGCAGTTCTTCGTGTGCCTGTGACCGACAGCTCTGGTTTTTGAGGTGTGGTTCCTTAGAGAAATGTTCTAGTTGAGTTTATATTGTAATGTTTACCTATCTTCTTTTATCTTTTCGGTTGAATCTTATCTTTTTCTACAGTTCCTATTGTCTAAAAGCTTTGATACATATTCATTAATATGCAGGTCGTCCTTGATATTTAATTTCTAACTGTAGTGTCCATTCTGCACTCTAGCCCCCTCCACCAGGGTTCGATCTAATCTATGAAACACAGTCGCATGGCTATGCAATTTATAGCACATTTGAATTTTAAAACTTTTACCACCACAAATAGGTCTCAAAAAGGTGGTTGTAGGTGACTGAACTTGATTGATTCATCATCATTGAACTTTCTAACACAAGTTAAGCTTGTGAACTCTTACTTACTTCATAGGCACAATATTACGGACGTTAATTTCTCCATAAACTCCATATTCAGTCACTTTTTTATAGGGCTTCATCTTCGTGATTTAAAAATTCCGCATTTCGTTTTTTTTTTTTGGTATCCGAGACAATAATATCGAGACTGCGATCTTTATCTCACCTTACAAATTTTGCTCTCATTGATTTTATTGTTATTTCGAAAACACAAAAACATTTAATTTGAGTGTTTCTTATCATAAACTTCGTCCGTGTCTAAATCGAATCTAATCTAATAAAAAATTAATGTCAATTATAATTCAAACTGCAGGAATTTTAGTTTTGTTTGCAATATTGTCAACTCCATTAGCAAATATTATCTATAACTTAAAAATTAAATTATTATTATTATTATAAAGTTTCTGGGAGAACAACTAATCTCACCTCTTCCCTTAAGCATTCTCTTGCACATGCAATATTGACATTTATCAATTGCTTTATTACGACAATAACGAGGAAAAACATTTTTGCAGATATTACATACACGCGACGAAGCAAGAAACGAAGAAGAAGATCAACTCCCTCGGAAAAATATTCCAAATTTTAAAAATTATTTGGAAGGTGGTGCTTTTAAATATAATAACGATGGTGTTCCCAGTAATGGCGGTAGCTAATTTGGTTGTTTCCGAATATAAAGGTTCGGGAAACACGTGGGGAGGTAATTTTTTTTTGTTATGATTTAATTTCAACCTTGATACTTAAGATAAAGAGGTCGCTTGTTTCCAGATTTGCTTACGTAATGATGAGTCAGAATGTAGAAATTTACGCTGTTATTAATTATTGTTCGAATTTTTCATGGCTTTCATTATTATTCATGATCTTCTGGTCTATAATGGAGTTCTTTATTTTAAATAAGATTTCAAAGACAATTGCCTATTTTATATTTATAGTGCTTTCATAGATAAACGGTTTTGGTTGACTGCCATAAAACGCGGTGCTACCTGCAGCCGTAAATAGCGTCAATGGCTAAAATATGGAACAAATTCATTTAAAAATCAAGTATTGGATTAAAAACAGAATCCTCGCATTATAATTTTTTAAATCCATTTTAAGATTTTGTGTCAAACTTCACCCATAATTGATGTAACAGACCCTACCTATCTTTAAGTTTTATGAGCAAAAGAATAAAAATTGGAAATTGAAAAGTAGCAATTACATTTCTGTCATTAATCAAAGTGAATATGACGCGTCTAAATAAAAGCCAGAGAATTGAAATTTTAATTTATATTAGATATGGGAAAAAACGCAACATGCATCTAATGAAGTAGCTTCAAATGGTTATATCAAATGATTGGAACGTGCGTCTATAAAATAAAGAAAATTATCATCCGATAGCAGACTACAGTTTTGTGAAACTACGATGTAGATGTGCAATTTAACTCCAGTTTAAATACTGATACTGTTTACCGATGAACCCACGTTTTGTTTAAATGGTTCGGTAAATAAACAAGCAAGTAATTCCAGATAGATGAGAGAACTCATACACAACGTCCACAAAAGATAAATATTTGGACAAGGATTTTGAATGACAAAATTATTGGACCTTATTTCTTTCATCCAAATCTTAGTGAAGCCGGATATTTATAATTTCTTTAAATGACTTAATTTCTCAAAATAAATAGGAACTAAAAGTTCAGATTTTCACGAAATTATATATTTTGACATGACAATTTTTGCGACAACACCGTGTCTTTATCAAATGTAATATTTACAAACTAGCTGCTACTATATATACCGAAAATGGCCATAAATTCTCACAACCATAAATTCTCACAATAACATGAATTAAGGTTTTATGTTCATTTTTTCGTACATATAGTACCAGGTAGTTTGTAAATATTACATTTGATAACGTCACGGGGTAGTCGAAACAATTGTCATGTTAAAATATATAAGTAGGTAGAAATGCGTCCTTATTGTGGAATTTTTACTTTTAAAAATTTTATTTTGCCAAGATGCCTTTCACCTCTGTGAAAAGAATCGTACTAAATCACACCAAACGATCGCTATTCTTTCCAAAGAGCATTACAGATGATTTGGTTGGATCAAGCCGTAACATGCTGAAAATTCAGTTAGTTCTTTTAAATCTCTATTAACTAATTAGTACAAGTACTAGGGACAAACGAATATAGTACATGAGTATCATCAGCATAAAAGTATGCCGTGACATTTTTCATACACGAGACAAAATTGCTGGTATAAGTTGTAAATAAAAGAGGCCTCGGTATAGAACCTTGCGACACACCGCAACTAATAGTTCCTCTAATTTTTCAAAGACACTTCCACAGGCTATTGTAATACTTTTTATAAAACTTCTGGATTCCTCGTGCGTCGGTTTGTGTTGTCGAATTAGCTAACGTTTCGCCAATCATCCTGCTTCTTCAGAACTTGACTGAAACTTACTTTGGCGAAACGTTAGCTAATTTGACTTAACAAAAACCGACGCAGGAGGAATCCAGAAATTTTATAAAAGGTATAACAGTTTCTCTAGCTGATTGACCAAGACTTGTCTCGACATATTGCGTTCGATCTCTAAGATAATTTGTTATTAACATTTTGGCATTATCCGAAAACCCGGCATAGTTTAAAATAGGTAACAGTAGTTCGTGGAATATCGTGTCAAATGCTTTGGAATAGCCCAGAAACACCAAAACAGATAACTGATCTGAATCTAATGATTTTATAATGTCATTTGTAATATTCAAATATATATCCAGACCTATACCTTGATTGGTTAGGAGACAAAATGATATTTGTTTACAAAATAAAGTCGTATTTGATTGTTTATAATATTTTCTAGTAGTTTTGAGAAGCAGGGTAAAATACTAATCGATATCAATTAAATTAAATTAAATTAAAGATCAGTCGAATAACGAAATAATAGCAAGATAAGTTAAGCTGTATTCAAGCACAGAACAATAATATAGGAAACACACAACTAGGGGTGAAAGTGCCCAATTAAGGAAAATATGTCTTTACCAAACCAAGCGTGGAAATACACTGACCCGACTCAATCACGGATCAACATTGTAGTCTAGTCCATAGGCCTCGTATGGTATGTTCATAGATATACGAAAGTAACCAAAAGCTTTTGAACGGATTATCCAAGGGTGGTCATTAACATACAATGCAACAAGATTATTACCTTAATTAATAATTAAATCAATTAATAATTACCTTAATTAATGATAATAATCTTGTTGCATTGTATGTTAATGACCACCCTTGGATAATCCGTTCAAAGGCAATTGGTTACTTTGTTATATTTATGAACAGATCATAGCCTTAGAAATAAATTTAGTCCGCATTTGGTAACGGATAGTTAGATCTCCCCGAAATGTTGTGTAAACAAAATATAAATAATAATAAATAATTATACTATTATCTCCCTCCCCATATATGAAACTAACATTTTTTTATCAATTAGATAATACATTCATAAATATAGGAAATGCACAATAAATTTGAGAAATTTGTGCGTGCATTTGTTCAGTTTAATGTAACTTAATTTTTGTATATTTCCTATTTTGCAAATGAATTGGAATCTGGTTTTTACGAATTTTGTGGAGATTTAATAGTCTGTTGACTGATTTTATGCAGATTTTGTTGATACTTAGTACCTTTGCTTCAGTAACCAATTCTTTAGAAGGATGTAGTTTGTTTTTGAATAATGTTATTTTTAAAATACGTTTCTGTCAAATCTGTGGCCTTGGAAGAGGGTTATCCGTTGCAACACCCCAAACCTTTATACCATAGGATGTAACTGATTCTACTATAGATTTAGGGAACTCTTTGAAAAACTCCGACGTAATATATAAAATTTGTGGAATAACTCGCGAATTTTCACAGCGATGTAATAGATGTGATCATCCCAATTAACTTTTAACTCTTTGGTGGAATTTATGAAAAGATTCGGGTTATAGCTTGAGCAGGCAAAATTATGGATTTTTTTCTTTGCAATTTGGAATAAGTATTGAATTGGGTTTTTGCCTAAATTAAGTAACAGTAGGATCTAGCCATATTTTCACCAGACTTAATAATTCTTCAGCCTTTGCAAATGTTTCTTTCAAAGTATTTTCAACGATAATCAATGCCGCATCATTCGCATCGCAGACCTCGGTAAAATAGAAAATATGCCATTCATGTGTCACCTACTTTAACTTTTTGCAACCTATCTTGTAGGTACCCAAAACTAACCAAAACTATGCTGTCCGTTATCTTGATCAACGCATCTTCCGTAACCCCTTTTTTTCTAAAAAAGATCAAAAAACTTCATATAAACTTATTTCCTACATTGCCCTAAGAGATAGCAGTCTATTAGTTTCATAAAACATTTTTTTTTCTATCATAATTTTAATTTACATTGGGCTTTGATTCTCTGAAATTGTCAATGGAAGAAGAAGATTTCTTATTAACAGTATAATTTTAACATCAATATCAGTGCCACAATTTCTTTATTTCAACACACATTCATCACTATTACAAAAAAAAAACAAATAAAATGATTTAAGAAGCAGTACATCACAAAGCATGTTAGAAAACATTCAAGCAGCAGCAGCAAATCCATTGGCATTATTATCGCTTTCTCGATAGAACCTATTTTAATTTGTATTTAAATTTATTTACATGTAAAATTTTAAAATTTTATTATAGTTTATTGTTATAGCCTCAAACAAATATTAGAATGACGTATAAATTTTGTCCTAAGCGCCGACGGATCACAAATAATTTTATGAGTAAATGATCCCAAGTGTTGCAACATTCTAGACCTCATGAATAAACATTTATCTCCTCTTTTATTTTATAAGTGGTAGGTTAGAATATTCTAATACCATGGATTAAACGATAATAGGTGTTTTGCATTTTTTGAATTCTATTTTTATCGATCTGTGTTAAGCAAGGCCCATATAGAAAGTATTTAAACTGAGAGAGTGCAATAATAATTTTCTAGTTTTTTGATACGAAATTTTCCGCTTGCAATAAATTAGCCTTAAATTGAAGTGTGCCTTATTGACCAAATATTTAAGAAGTTCTCTAAAACGCAAAGAAGTATAGATTGCTACGAATAAATTTGTCGCATAATCAGTAAATATTATTTTAGTATTGTTCACTTTTTTTGTTACTAAAATATAAAACTTTTGACATGTTTATATTTAGTAGCAAATTGTGATCTAAAGAAAGCTGTTTAATAATTTTCGGATCAGCAATAATATGCGCGCATACCTGGTTATACATGTTTACTGAAAATTGTTAGAATATTTGGGTATCATACTTTAGAGACTTTAAGTTATCAGATGTATAGATAAAATTAAACCCTGAAGCATTCTAGACAAAATATCAACACTTGAAGAGAAAACTTTTGGAAGGTATATTTATTAACATGTCACATAAACATGTGTCCTAACTTGCTGCGTTTGGAGTGTCAAAGCTTGTATAAGGCAAACTTTTATTTTTATTAATTGCCCAATAATCTTTCAGCTGATTTTCACAACTTGTCGTCACAGGCGTTTTTATTTTATGTTAATCAAAATACAATTTCTGGTTCCATTGGCGCCTCCGAAGGCAACATCATGGTAGGCCACCGAAGCTAATTTAATAATTAAACATTTTTGTCCTTTTAAACTATTGAAAATCGGAATTTTCCTGGACTAAAACAATTAATTATAAATTATTAAGTAAATTAATAACAGGTTATTTATATTTATTTATAATATTCATAGCACATGAGTACACGGTTCTTCTGGATTCGTTTGAATCATTATAATTTCAGATAGCTACTTTGTCACCATAGCGTCATATCTGACGCCAGCAGTATGCGACATCATCGGTAAAGGGCTATCGAACAGATTTGACAGAGTAAGTATTCCTTCTGCCAAAGGTGCTTAAGTACTGAATATGCGCGTTTGTTGCAGAACTACCCGTCATGGATCTTAGCAATAATCATACTGATAAAAACAGCAGTATTCGGACCGATGATATTTTTTTCGAACGCTCTGCCCAGGGTGCACACTAGCGTAATATTCGGCCGCGATTGGGAATACATCCTAATTATGGCCGTTCATGCATTTGCCGGCTCTTATATTGGTAACAACATCATGCTGAAGCTGATAAGGTAACTCAATAGTCTTTGGAATGTCGGAGAGGACTAATTTAAGCGTCAATATTTCAGATTAGTACCGAAGGACAAAATGGATCTGACCATGTCGGTAAACATGATGTCTATGGGCGTAGTCGCTGCTGCGACGACACCCCTGGGTGTGTTCGTCGTTAGCTTGTTATAGAAGGTTTTGAATGACAACAGCGCATAAAGACTGACGTGTGACGTAACCCACTAGCAATAAAAAACAATTGCCGACCAAATTAACAGGAACCTAGGAAACGTATAGTTTTGTTCAAATTAATACCGTTGACTGGCACACCAAAATATCACCTAGGTACTACACAATTCGTGAATTGGAACAGGAAAAACATTTTTGAGTTCATTATCTCATTGTTTTCAAAAGTTATGAGAAAGTGGTAAAGAGAATAGTTTTAAAGATTGTTAGGATGCACAATTCGAAATATTTTTAAGGTATACACGGCGGAAAAGAGTGACCAATTAAACATACATTTTTTTAACTTGAAAGTCCTTATTTTTAAATTTTGTTGTGAATTGGCTTCGAAATTATTCAACTTTTTCTATTAAATTAAATTAAAATTGAATATTGACCTAAACCTAATAATATTTCCAATATATTTTTTTAAATACTGGTTTTCACACTTCAAAAGAAATTGCCTACGGTCATTAATTTTGAAAATCGATCACTCATATTTGGTATATAATAAGATGAAGTAGAAGATATGTTCAATGTAATTTGAATTAGATCCTACAGGTGGCTCAAAATGAACGAATGAAAAAATGATAAATCTGGATGTTCTTAAATGACGCACTATATACAGGGTGATTTTTAATTGAATATCCATGATTAAGGACGCGATTTTTGGGTCAATTTTAAAAAGAACACTTTATAGGAACACCTGTCCCATTTCTATGGGTAACGGATATTCAAAAATTTTGGAACTTTTATGATAATCAACACCTACATTCAAAAATAAGTGTTTTTTCAGAAAAATTGTTTTTTTATTTTTTTATATATTTAATCGTTATGGGCCACCATACTTTAATTATTAACTTTAAATTGTGCATCCTAACAATCTTTACAATTTTTGTATTTATCATTTTATCATAACTTTTGAAAGCACTGAGGTGATGAATTTTACTTTATCCATGACTTAACTTATACCTTGAGCTAACAAAATCTTATGTATATATGTGTATATAAGATGTGTATATATGCAAATTTGAGGTGAAAATGTCAATTGGCTTAATAACACCCTTTTTTTCGAAAAACTCAGTTTTACGATATGATTGAATAAAGTAGACAGTTGAAAATTATTAATGGAATATGATGTCGGGCAAATGTCCACCTCTAGCACGTTTTCCAACAAAGCGTCGCTTATCACGTCTATCCAGCGCTTCAGGGCCTTCGTTTGGGTTGCTTGTGGTTTGTTTATTCATGTAATCCTGGTCTTTCAGAGAAAATAGTAAAATTGCAAGAATGAGGCGGCCAATTGCCCAGGTCACTGATGTCAATATTGCACAACTACGACATCAAAAAAATCATTTTCAATAAAAAAGGAAGCGATGCTGCCTGACCACAAACACCACTACTGTGAATGTGTTTTCCGGCAACTGTTTGTCCATTTTGCGACAATCTTTGTTGTTTACATGACAGCCTAATTGGTTAAATGATTCAGGATTCCTAGAAAAAGCTGCTCGAATTTTACAAAGTGATATAGTAACATTTTCACTATTTTGATATTAAATTTTCACAATTATAATTGGTTGTTTAAGAGTGTAGAGTGTATAATTTAAAGCCTATTTACTTTCTAACCTCAAGTTTGCCCCTGCGTTACTAGCACCCCTTTCCGAAAGGGGTGTTTATGGAACCCAATATTTTGGAAATTAATTTGAACCAAATTATACGGGCCGATTTCAAACGTGAAACCTATTCGACCACGATGTCTTTCAAATTAATCTCTATTGTTTTTATAAAACAGATACCTAGGAATTTCGGAATATTGGAATTAATGTAAGATTTAAAATGCTCGGCTGATCTGAATATACTTATTTCAATGTTACGTGTATAGCTAATGGATTTTGAATATGTTTGTTATTAAAAAGTAATTTGTTGTTTGAAAATTATAATAAAGATTTTCTTATAATATGTTGTTGCATTGCATTTTCTTTAAATTGTTTGTTCTTTGCATATACATGAATGTGTGCTTGATAACCTCCTAAACCTCTTTTTTTATAGCCAGCACGCAATTCTAAAAGCAGATAAAGGAATCCTAAGGTTTTCATGAACACAGGCGAATATCAAGAAAAAATTCAAGATTCTTACAGACGGATCCTCTCGTCAACATAAAACATTAGGATCTTTTTTAAGTTGACGATGGTCTATCTATGGAACGCAACTTTAAATCTGTTACAAAGGCTTTTTCTTCCAAAGACAATGAGTCCGAAAGCAACCCTACACTGGCCACTGTCGTGCTTCCTTACATTCAAAATCCTACATGTCAAAAGTTCTTAAGAACTCTCTTAACATCTTCGATCTCATTCTATCTTAACCGGGACTCATATACCTTTCACCAATATAAGAATTAGTCATCCGAAACAAAGTTCATGCCCCTCATTTAGCTCCGCCACCTTCAAATAGTACATAAGCGGGTACAAAGTAAAAGGTTTAGTTAAACTCTGAAGAAGGCAACCGCATGATTGACGACACATCAGCAGGTTTGATTTATAAGCAGGCAATGTTCGTTGATTAGTTATTTATTAGTTACTTACAATTTACTTACTTATATTTATTATACAGTGAGGATCTAAAATCCGCTCCTCTCCTTTAGCTTTCGAAACGTTGGGTATATTGCGATGAAATTTGAGACAATTCTCTAAATTTTTCGCAAAAAGACATTTCCATAATTCAAGATGACGGCATGGCATAGTTTTTTTATGGAATAGTGATCCTTTTTTTTTCTCTTTTTATCCCTAATTCAAATCTAAACGATAAAACACGACAAGATCGATTGAAAAGAAAATCAAACATCCTTAGAAATGTTCAAAGTTTAAGTGCCTCCCGTCATTTTCTATGCAGTAATTTATCTTGCGTCGTGTATTAAATTGTGCTTTTTCTGATATGATAAAATATATTTTCAGGAGTAGTAGGGCGAGTTCCATAAACAATATATTCCATATATTCTTCCTTAAAAGTAGAAGTTCAGGACAGTAAAAGTCTGCAAATCCGGCAGGCCACGGAAACAATCTGCCTCTTGTTGTTATATGGATAAGTCTGGTCTATTAAACACTCGCTGCCCTCGTGCCAATTAAACTGGTGACTAAAATGTCGCTTACTGCACTTGTTGCCTAATATACTATTAATAACAACTAGCGGCAAAAAAAATATTTTTATGACAAGCGCGATAATTAATGAATTTTTAATGCTTTTATTGTTCTCTACTTATTGCTTAAAACATCAGTAATGAATAAACTTCGTCTTTAACAATATTAATAAGTGATTAAACTTAATTTTCTATAAAAAGAGATAATACTCAATATTTGTAAAAAAAAATAATATAAACTCATCAAAGAACTTCTATTTCAATTCCATCCCGCAGAGTGAAGATGCTTATCAAAATTGAACTTTTTTTGAGTTTTAAATTCTTTCATTCATATTTTTGGTTAGGATAAAATGATGGAGGCGCGATTTTCACTGGGTTGTTAGGCTATATAATGTGGTAAAAAAGTCATATAATCGCACTTAATTATTTTTCAGAAAATATGTTTTTTGCTATTAGGTGAAAAAGCGTTATCTGGTGGACGGGTACTACACGAAATCATTTCACTCACAGCAAGCGTAGGAAGCGTAACGACTCCACAAAGCCGTTTTGAAGTTTTCGATATATATTTGTTGTTGGAGCACCCCTAGCACTTTCCTTTTAGTTTTTAATTTTTAGTTTGTTTGAGCTTTAAAACAGTGTTCACTCTAAGTATCATTAATATAAAAAAATGCAGAAAACAGGTCTTACAATTCAAGATGGCAATTACGCTCCCTGGTGGTCATTTCAAAGCCTCAAAAATGGTTTCACAAGTTGTTTAACACCAACACAAGCTAAAAGGTATCGTTTATTTTATCAAAATTAAAGAGAAAGAAATCTTAAAAAACACATCACATTGCGTGTACCATCACGGGCTTAACACTCGCCACACTTTAAAAGGAGGTCTTATAAAATGAAACGCCCGCTAAAAATAAACGCGTATATATAAGGTATATCTACTTTATTCTAAGCTTAATATCAAATCTTCAGCTTCCAATTTCATGTTCATTTGGGCATTGATGGTCTTTACTACGCCGGCGACCGGGCTCTGTACCACCGTCTCCATCTTCATCGCAGACAGAATCACCAAAGGAGTACCTTTCTCAATCTTTTCCCCTACCTACGGATCATTTTAATGGGTTGGATCCTGCGCTACACTTCTTCCCTTAGCCATTGACTTACCTTAACTCTAATGTCGATCACTGTGCCGGGCATGGGCGCCCCGATCTGTTTGCTGTCAGTCTTGACTGCCTTAGGATGCAACTGAATCTCTTTGCCTGCCTCTTTGTCTCTGATCAGAACAGAACGCAGAGTACCGTTCAGTTCGAAAAACACTTCTCTTTCGCCGTGTTCGGTAAGATCTTCCGCCACAGCGAGAGTCTTAATACCTAAAATTTAGAATTTTATATAATACGATACAAATACAAATAATAAATACATATATTTAATAATACAAATATTTAGCAAAATTTAGAAAAATTGTTTCAACGTACACGGTGACAATGCTAGAATATATGCTTTAAAATGGAACCCTCTATTTATTTTTGTCGGTTATTCCTCGATGAGAAAAAATAAAAATATTTCATTCTGCAGTGGCCGCGTAAATGATGGACCTTCTCTTTAATTTTTTGTACCCTTATGAAATTTGGCATGCATATAATTTAAATGTTATTAAGTATTTTTTTAAATGGTAAGAAGGGTCATGTGATAAACGTCTCTTCACGCTCTATTTGCAAATCAATTTTGAAAACATTTGACTAGTCAGTTTTTGCAAGACTCAAATGAGTGCTTGCAAATGTTTTATTTCTTTTCTATTACTTAGATGTAGCTTAAATTAAAAACATAAATAGTTTCATCGTTTTATGAAATATTTTACAAAATGCTCGAAATTAGCACCTTGCGAATTTTGACAATAATAACAATAAACGCGTTGCTAACATTATGCAAAGTTTCTGGGGGAATCACATTGGAAACATTTTAGATTTTCAACTGAATTTGGTTTTGTAACATAAATTTTACTTTTTACATATCCCCAAAGAAAAAAGTCCAGTGGTGTTAGGTCTGGCAACAATTCTCAACTATAAATCAGAAACATCACTTTACACTTAAACTCGCACTTGCACGAAAAGTAAGTCGTTAGGAACGAAATAAATTAAAACACAGAATACTAAAATTGGGTCATATATGACCCAGAACAACAAAATACAAATTATTTTTAAACTATAATAATTTTTGTTTTGGTTATTATTGCATATATTTTAACAGAGCATTTTAGGTTAATTCTCAGAAGGAACCAAATCGAAAAAAAAAGTAAATAGTATGTCAATTTTGACCCGGCTTCAGTCAGGTGGAGGTTAATACTCAAAAAAATATTTTTTGGGATGTGAATTTATGGAATTAGAAATGTCCGTGTTAAAAATTAATCGGGAACCCGATGTAGGGTTTGTAGATTAAGTCCGCTAAAACAGTTTCTCATCCGTGCTTATTACACACGTTGTTGCGTGATTTGGCATCCCGGTACCATGGCAAACCTTACTGCCTCTGCATTCTCTCGATAAGCATTTTATACAAAAATTTTGAAGCAATTTTTCCGGAATTCAAAGCAGCAACCATTAAAACGAATATTTTTGCCCGTTGTCAGATCATGTCAGTTCAATAAAACCCTGTATATATTTTTTAATTTTTGTTACCTAAGGTTTTTCCCTTTTCGATGGTGACTTCAAACTCCTCCCCCACTTTGGGTCCGGTCAAAAATATCCTAGTGTCTAGTTTGTCGACAGGGCCGTATTGATCGTTGAACGCGAGGTATTCTTTGGTCACTTGGGGGTAGAGAGCGGCGCTCATGATGTCGCGGTCCGTGGCGGTGGGAAAAGTTTGCCTGATTTCAGTGGCCAACTCGTCCATCTTGAGGGGCGGCAAACTTGCCCCGGGTCTGCCCTCGATACGCGGCATATCTCGTAGCACCTAACACGTTAAAAATTAAAAATGTGACCCCTTGTTTTCTCATGACTTGCCAGCCCTATTCACTTTTTTATTTGAACAGATAACTTTTCGAAATTGTTACGAACAAAAATAAAAAATTATTCAAATTTTTTTTCAAGAGGGGAATCCAATTGCATGCCTATTTTGCAGAAATTTCTCCTGGTCCAGTGAAGATGAACAGCTACCGCTAAAAAAGCCAACCTACTCAACTACAGGTCAACAATTAGAACGGTTTGCTTTATCTACGCCAATTCTACAGTCAACAGTCGTCCTGAACACTTCCCAGTCTAAATGCTAATACTACTCAACTCTTGGGGGAGATTTTAAAACCTTTTGTATACAAACGTGAAATACAACATCAAACAGCAACAAGACTGAAACCCGTTCACAAAGTGTTTCAATATTTCCAGTCAATATCAAAAAAAAATTTGAACAGCTAGAAATTTTCTCTATTCTTATTTCCTTTAAGAGTAAATAGTCAAATAAAGCTCGCCAAACTCATCAATATACATCAATATACTTTAGAAAGTGAAAGATGATATTTTATTAAAGTGCGTTATAATTGTTGATGAGACTGATTAATAAAACATTTTTAAACGCTTCGTATCAAATGTGTTTGAACATGGTTGGTTATACGATATTTCTAAAATTATTTAGGCTTAAGCTAAATTTATTTTGTAATTATTTTAAAACCCTTAAAACAATTTGCGTATTGCGACACTTTTGCGTTCAAGACCAGTTTAACAAAAGTATTTTACAATTATATTTAATGACGCTTGTAATAAAATAATTGAAACCGCTAATAAAATTTAATTAACGCCCATTCAAGGTTACAAAAATAGCTGGAGTTATTACTGGCAAGTATTATTTATTGATAAGTCCTACGGAGGAAATAGAACTTGGACCTTAAAGTGGTTATTACTGATGTTTTGTTATCCATGCAGAAACAAATCCGAATTTTGCTTGAACAAGAAACTACGTTAGGGACCTACACTACACTACATTTTCTTAAAATTTGGCATTGATCCAGTTTATTCTTTAGCAGCAAGCACATAGTAAATTTTGATGCAAATTCACTTAAAACAAACCCCTAGCCATAAGAGACCTCTACCAAGGTATTTCTAGTAACCGGAAGGAATACCCTAAATAATACACGCTGCTTGACACAATCATAAAATATTACATCGGATTCAATTGATTGGGGGTTTACCTCTACATTTTAACAAGTTTGAAGATAAATATTTTAAAAACCTGTTAAAATAAGGTGAAACCCTATATTGTTTAAAACAGGAAAATAGACCTTCTTTCTTTCTGTGATATGAGTCTCTTTTAAAATAATAAAACTTAATAAGAAAAAAATATTTTTATACTATTTTTTGTTTTTGTTCGCGTCAATTTCGAAAATAAAAAGTTAAGCGGGGGGCTTCGTCAGAGCTTAACTGAAATGTGTTTGTATTCTACTCTATGCTTGCTTATATATATTTTTGAGGAATGTGGAACGAAAGGGTGTGAAATGACATTATCTGAGATGAATGTTTTCCTTCTCCTTTTTCTTCCTTCTTTAGTTTAGGAAACTGCCTGTTTTTTCTTCGTCTCCTACTGTTCGTCGGGTCTCAAATTGAACTATTCTCGAGTCATCCGTGCGATTGATGTCGTCATTTCATTCTACTTTTCGTTTTAATATCTAGTGGTTTTCACATTTTTCTGATATTCTTGCTTCGATCTATGTTCCATAACGTTTTCCCAGCAATTTTCTGAAATACCTTCATTGTCGGTGTCTCCATCATCTCCTTAGTTTTCGTTGTGTCAGGTCGTGTCTAATCGTTGTTTTGTATATTTTAGCCTTTGCTTCCATTCTGATATATTTGTTTACCCAAATGGTGTTATTTAATTTTCCCTTCAACTAGAAGCTGACACCAGATCAGAGATTTTGAAGAAGTCATATGTTTTGTTTTAGAGGCAGATATAATCAGGTTAAGTGATTTATGTGTTCGGTTAAATAATTGTAATAATCTTTGTATGTCGTCTTCGTTTTCTGCCACTAGTACAGCGTCGTCTGAATACCGCAGAATTTTATTCTCGCGGTTGTTCATTCTGTATCCTCGCCCTTTGGGTACTCCCCTTATTATCTCAAACGTGATAATGTTAAAGCGAGAACGCGAGCTTAAAGTTGATCTTGGCTTGGATTTGATTAATTGAGTATATATTTTCGATAGTTTTGATAATGTTGTGTGGGATCTGAATGTTTGGTGAAAGACCTGACTCACGGTTAAGATTAGAGATTTCTATGGATTCTCGGATTTTTCTTTCAAGAATTTCAGAAGATTATTAAATGATATTACAGTAGCTTGTGGCAAGTTTCTTTGAAAAATAAAAAGTGACCTTACCTTGGAACGTAGCGGCTCGGGGAAACCGCCGTGAGGTTGTCCGATATGACCTTGAAGAAACTCCACCACCGATTTCGGAAACGATAGTTCTTCGGCCCTGTCCAATACGTCTTGAGGGGAGAGCTTGTTTTGTACCATGAACTGGGCCAAATCGCCGACCACTTTTGACGACGGGGTCACTTTTATGATGTCTCCTAATAATATGTTCGCCTACAATGATGAATCGGATGACGGTACATTCGACCACGAACCCTTGCAATTACCTCGGCGTAAGCCTTTTTGACGTCCTCGAAAAAGTCACCGAGGCCCAGCGAGTACGCTTGAAACTGCAAGTTGGTATACTGACCCCCTGGTATTTCGTTGTTGTAGACATCAGCGTTGCCACTTTTCATCGTCGTAGTACATTCGAACGGTGCGTACAGCGTACGGGTTTGTTCCCAATAGGCGGAGTATTCGGAGACCTATCGGTTTAGTATTAAAAGAAAACGTACCATATCTTCGAAATATAAACACCGAGCAAGGGTCCAGGGGTAAAGTCTTTTCATAGATATAAGAAAGTGACTAACTGATACGAATATGGAAAGACCCGGGCAAGCTGTAAGTATGAAATATGGCCAAACAGGTCCGTGCTTTGCTTAGAATTTAATTATTTGTGGTTTTGTTTGGAAAGATACTAAACAATATTTATTTATGTATGAATGTATTTATGTTTAAATCTAAAATAAAATTACAAATTATTTGTACTATCTATTTAAATTACTTAAAATTATTCACATAATATATCAGTATCACTATCGCTATCATCACCTGTTCTAATTATTATTTGTTATATTATTATTTGCAATATGGATATACGATTGTTCCGCTTTTTCTATAGGTTTAACAGAATTTGCCCAACTTTGTGGAGGGATGTTAAAAACTTCGGTTCCTAAAAGTTTAAGGACATTGCAGTTAACACGGGGAAAAACATTGTTACGATGAATGGCAGATTTCTGTTGATGCCAAACATGTTCAATGGGATTAAACATACAGTGGTATTAATAATATATAATAACTTTCAAATAAACCAGCGGTGGTGTCTTCATGGTAATCCAGAGAAGAATCTTTAATATTTTTCGCAGACAGAGAAAGTCCATTTGGAATCCAACCATCTTTAGAGCCAGCATGCAAAATAGTTATTCTTTGACCTCTTTTTGATGGCGCGTTTGTTTTACACTCAGTTGAGTCAACCTAACCCTTTTTCGGGGTATCATATGTGTCGAAGCAGGTTTCATCCAAGTAAATAATTGGCCTTTGTTGTTCTCTGTAAATCCTATTTTTTTCTAGATATTCCAGTCGCCATTTCCGAATTCTAAAAGATTCCATTAAAACTTGCCTTTTGTCATTTTTTTTAGTCTAAAACCTATGTGTTGAATACACTTCCATAAGGTAGTTCTGCCACATTTAACACCGGTTTCATCTTTTTCAAGCCTCCTAATTAAGATATCTAGTGTAGGCACGCTTTGTTCCTCGTATAACTGGTAAATCTTACGCCTTATTATATCTTGATCACTTTCATCTACACTCGAGAAAATGTCAGCATTGCTTCTTTTTTTCCTCGCTGAAATGGGATTATTCACAATTTTTCATACAGTTGATGTTGGAATTTTCGTCAATGTGGCCGTTTCTTCTAAAGATACTTGCTTGCTGGCACCACGTTCAATGAGAGTCAAATAAACCTTGTTTATAACTTCCTTAGTCTCAATAGAATAGTGTTTTCTACATTTGGGCGGGAGCATCTCCTGAGATACACTACACCCGCACAAATTTTGCATAATTCGCACACGATTCAACACACGCTGTATTAAGAAATAATAATGATTACTAATAAACTTAAACTAAGTAGTATACCAAAACAAAGAATATTAAACAGAGGTAGGTATAACATTATTTTTTATTTCGGACCACAATTTTACCTGAATTTAAATTCCGAAACTTTAGGTAATAATCTTGTTGCATTGTATGTTAATGACCACCCTTGAATAATCCCATTCAAAAGCAATTGGTCACTTTGTTTTATCTATGAGCAGACCATACTTGTAGTGCGCGCAGAGGTGACCCTTAAACAATTTAACCTTGGCTGTTAGTTGCCATAGGTTAAAACGATTATCGCCGTTCTTCAATAGTAATAATAAAAGTCTAAACTTTAGAGTAGAAACTTTTGTAATTCCAACAAATAGAGCTAATTCTTTTTCTCAATACAGGAAGTGGAACTGGATATTTGATTTGCTAACTGCAGAAAGGGGACATCCCAATTTTTTTGATAAATTGAAATTTATATATTTGTATATTGTACATAAAAGGGTACAGGAAACACACTGCTTAACCGGGTTTGCTATTGTAGATCGATTTAATTTCTGTTTACTGCAGAAAGGTGACATATCTGGTAGATATCACCGTTCTGCAGTAAAGAATTGACGTTGAAATCTAATTGACCAGCCTAATAACGTCATTACAATCGACCACTTTGTCGGTTAGTTTTGGTTAGTTTTCTTGAATGGGTTTAGTCTTATTTCTGTTGCGTTACAGTAATGAGTTCAAGTCTCTGAAATGGAACCAGAAATACCGAAAAACATAAAAGAAAGGTGTTGTAAGTAGTGACAATTATAAGATAAATGTAATTTCGAATGCAAAAGTGCAAGGCGTACAAGATGTAAATTATTGTCGAAAAGTTATTCCCTTTCAACAAAAGTTGAGCTGAAAAGATTCAAAGAAAAATTAGAAATATACTTTCCCATGAGAGGACGTTCTTATATGCCCTGCGATCTTGACTTTCTGTTAATTAAAAGTCAATTTAATAATAGATAGATTTTATACTATTCAGGAATACATCGAACTATGTTCGAAGGCATTTTTTTTGTAAAGACTTAGTTGACTATTACAAAAACTGTTGGCCCGGATTTTACAAAAAAAAACTGCCTTGGAAATGAATTTTAGGGAAAAAACGTGCCACGCACTCAGAATAAGTCATTTTTTATTGCCTCCTTCCATCATTTCACGATTTCTTCCGCCCACATGAAATAGTTTGCAGGGAATTTATAAACTCTCCAGTAGTAGGCACTTACCGACTGAGAAATACCGAGAAAGAAATAACAACCAATTAAAAAACAAAATGCAAAATTTCTCGTTGGTTTATAAAACATATTCTGAAGAATAGAAGAAAAAAAAATTGAACTACCTACTCTTTCAAAAGTTATGAAGTTTTACTCGTTTTCTGAAGAATTTTTAAAAAGTTCTGCAGGTAACTATTTAATTATTATAGAGTTAAATCGCATTCCAGCTGAAACAGCAGAAACCGATACAGTATCTGTTTTGTCCGCGCGGAAACGGACTTTGGCCGCAGCTGGCACAGCAAGAAGTCGCAAAAATTACTCAAGACGGGATCAAAAGATTTTTGATTACTTAACTGACCCTACCTCGCTTTTGGTCTTCCTTCCGGAGGGGCCGGCCCGTGCTGCGTCCTCTGTGCCTCGAGTGGTGAGGAAATTTGTTGATCACCACGCGTATGACCTGATGCGTTCAAAGGCACTTTTTGAACCACACGATGAGAGCGACCGATTTAGCGCTTCACCGTGATTTTTAGTGGAGCATGCGCCTAAGGGCGCTGGCGGGTATAGATGGCCAGTTAAGTTCAAGAATTTAATACCGCGAGGAAAGGAAGAAGAATAACTTCTTGGTGCTGTACTCGCGGCCAATCGATAAGCTATAGGTTTATATATATAAATTCATAAGAAGTCGAAAAATAATAAAACGAAAACTGAACAGTATCTCTTACACTGCATGTACATTTGTATACAACGGAGAAATAGGGACAAAATTTTTGAAAGTTCTGAATTATTTCATGGTAAAAGAAATGTTTTCGCGGCATATGGCGAACAAGACATAAGATTAACAGTTATATTTGTAGAAGCTGAAGTTTACGATAAAAACACACAGGTTTCGATTGGGCGGCTGATTTCGGTCCTATTAGCCCCAAGCAAGTTTGAAGACCTTCATTTTTTCCTAAATACTAGAATGTATTCAAAATATAAGATTATATTATAACTATTATGAAATTGAATAGAATGTTTTCTCTTCTTAGAGGAGCACTGGGAATTTCATCCCGAAACATTCAAGTCTGTAAAGAATTCATAATCTTAAATACAAGAATTTCTTGTAAAAATTGACACCGGAATTTGAGTTTTCATTCTCAAGAATTTAATATATGTTTATTTGCATATAGTGTTTTGTGGAATATAAATGGTTTTTCAATTAGGTCAAGTAGATTTTAGCGGCCCAGGGCAGCCATTTTATTTTGATGGCAAAATCTTATGTTTATTATTCAGCAACTTATGCCAAATCACCATTAAAAATTACACCCTTGAACAGTAGGTTAAAGCGATAAAAAATTTATTATTAAAGTGTGTCTTCATAGTGAACTCTTCAACGTTTGGTCAGTTTTCAGACAACTGGTTCAGTAACTAACCAAAGCTAACCAACACCCGTAAATTCAAGTAATTTCCTCATTTGCTTCGAGACTTAGGCCTACACCCCTACAAGATCTAGTTAAGCCGCAGGTGGTCCAAGTTCATGACCACAGACAACGCCACTTGTTCGTTGAATGTCGAAAAATAATCATTAACGACGAGACCATTTTCTGGATGAATGTCTGTGTTAAAAATGAAAATTGCATATATATGAGATAACGGCACACATGCGAGAATCATTAGGTCATACTGTATCCTCAAAACGTTACCGTTTGTTGTGATTTTTGATCCGTCAGCAGTAGTGGTATATTCCATTTCGAAAACGACTTTAGTGATGCGGTCACCGTCAATGGCGTGGGCTACAGAACAATGAAAACCAATTTCTTATGTTCCAAATGGACCTAGACGATATGTGGTTTCAGCAACATGCCGCTAATTATCACACAGCGGACGCAATATTTGACAGTTTGAGTGGAAGATTTGAGGGCGAAGAGAATTGGTCACAAAATTCACGAGATTTGACCCCACTAGACATTTTTCGTTGGGACCGATACTCCGATGAACATAACACAGACTATGAACAGACACACAGACACACAGAAGGGTCTTTGAAAATTGGACCGTAAGAGGCAACACTTAATGGCGCATACAGGCCTTTCAAATAAAAGAAAAATTGCTTGTTTTATTTCAACATCTACCAGTTCTTATTGAAAAACCCTTTATAACTATGTTAACGTCACATAGAGTTGTGGCCACTACATGTCAACTGATCATTCGTTCCCACGCCCAAGTTGTTTGCATCGTTTGCAAATTTATGATCTTCATTTTCAATTTGTAGCTTCCAGAGAGGATACAATAATTTGTGTTTTTTCAGAATTTAGCTCGAGATTGTGTTTTTTACGATATTAAGAAAGGCTTTAGAGATCTAAATGAAAATTGATTTTTATCGTAATATACAATATGAATGGATTTGGGAAAATTCGACATACCCAGATGCGCCAAATTTATTCAAGATATACAACAATCTGCTGTCTATTCTGCTAATATAACTGGCAAGACATAGTGCTTTAGTTTTAACACATGATCATGATCATGGTCCACGCAATTGAATGCTTTTTCCTTTTGAAAAGTAAAGTGAGACCAATATTGTTGAAGCATTGTTGTCCAAATTTATCGTGTTTACATTTAGAAATGTATCTGTTCGGTAATTAGGACGTTCTCAGTCAAACATGAACAACGTAGGCGCATGATGCGGTTTCGTCATTACATCCTGGATCAACTATTTTATTCTATATACCAATGGCTTATTTTGTTTTTGTTCGTTTTGTTTATTAATAAATTTGGTTAGTAATTTATCGAGTGCAACAATGAAAGCCCAGGTCCCTTTACCGAAATCGCAAATAAATACAGGATGGTTTTAATCAGAGATGTAGTAGAAATTATAATAAATTGCATATATTATTATAGAACCTTCATTCGAGTGGCAGGAAAAAGTTTTAAAAACTTCCTTCAAAATAAATCAATCACAATTTTATTTATTTTTTTTGTTTTTATCATCCTTGTGTTATGTGTGTTTTAGTTAGGCAAGGTTTGTAATTACTATAGCCTTTTGATTTATTTTACGTCAAAAAAAAATTATAATAAAATTTAATTGAAAGTAACCAAATGAACCCAAAACTAAATCGCAAATTTGTCTATTATTACATGAAATTAACAGTTTAAATATTTGTAAAAACGGGAAACAAACTTATGTCTTATATTTTCTCTTAAAGTCAATCAATTTAATTACAAAATAGTGAATGCGGTGAGATGGAGAGAAGGCAAACTATTAATTTTACCCTCTTGTCATATCCCTACCTTGGCCAAGTCGATGTCTGTAGCCAAAGGCGAGCCTTGCAAGCTAGCTACGATAGCACCCATGCTAGGTTGCGATGTCATGCCAGACATTGAGTCTACTGCGACGTCGACGACGTCCGCTCCCGCTTCTGCGCATGCCAACATAGAAGCCACGCCTGCGCCGCTAGTGTCGTGAGTGTGGATGTGAATAGGCAAATCTGGGTATTTATCTCTCAATGCCCCAACTAGCATTCTGTAATGTACCGTAAATTATTATAGATTAATATTTCACTCAAGACTCAAACACTTTCACCGAGCATAAACAGGAGCAGAAGGGCCAATTTATCATTACAATACCACTGTATTATTTCACTCACCACTAACGATACTGGTCCATATCCGAATAAATGAGATCGCGATATATTGTTCGAGGGCCGTTCAACACTAATAGTGACTATATGGTGACACCCATAACGACTTTTCATGGTGCTAAAAGGTTATCTTCATTATTCACGATTTTATTCTCCGATTGTGGCGCTATGATAGTAAACGTTTGGAAGTACTTAAGTAAGCATTATTAAATGAAAAACAAATAACTTTTATTTGCTCTATTGCATAACTTAAATTACTTTTTACATTGTGTCTTTAAAACAACACAATTAAAAGTGCTCCCTATAATATTCGCATTGCTTGGGGTTGTAAAGCTGCTTTGTCGGTAAGCTGCAAACATGTTGCTAATGTGCGGTGGGTAAGCTTCTGCTTATTATTGCTCATATATCTCTGCTATCGAAGATTGGTGATAATTACAGCAAATTCTTCTCGTCTATCTGCTGTTCTGACGAGTGTTTGACCTTTCATTCAGGTCCATTCTGGGATATTTTTCATCCAGTAAATCTATCTTTTGCTCGTTTCCCTTCAATTTTACATATAATAATCAGTTGTACGAGGGTCAATGATAAAAGACATATTTTCTCTTTTTATTTTAGCTTTTCTACATAGTCTCTTTGTAATTCTCTACACTTTTCCCAGATGCTCCCATGTCTCTAATCCGTCCAAATACTACCCAGCGTTTTCTGCGCAAAACAATTGTTCACGAAGGTGATTGCCTCCCCATTTGATAAAAATGTTTGTGCTCCGGGCGAAGTTTTTAAAAGACGTTGCTTGAAGCTAGATCTGGTGAGTAAGGCAGTTCAAACCGTAATTCGTGAATTTTTGCCATGGCAACGGCTGAGGCGCGTTGTCGTGGTGAAACAGGATCATTTTTTAGCGAATATGGCTATTTTTCCGCAATTCCTATCATCGGATGATGATTCCCTTTTGGAAAGTAATCGCTATCCCAAAAACAGTCTCCATCATTTTCCCAATAGAAAAAACAGTTTTTGGGTAGTTTTGGTTAGTTTTTGATCTAACGTGAGTAAACGCAGCACCCAACGCGCGGACAGCTTTCTCATGCCTCTTGATTTAAAATGCGACAAACAACAGTCGTTTAACACTATTTGATAATCCCCAGCAATATTATCATCGGTAGTTACAGTTTTTGAACGTCTCGAACGGTCATCATCTCCTAAGCTCTTACGGCTTCGTTTAAATTCAGCTGCCCAAAATTTCACTGTCGTAAATGTGGAGTCCCCATGCACAGATTCCAACTCAACTTTAATTTGCGTAGGCGTATTGCCTCTCAAAAACAAATGTTTTATAACAGCTCTATACTAATTTTTTTCATAACAAGAGGTGCACAGTTACGATGAGTAGGTAAGGTCGAAAACTTTTCAAATGGCCCTTGTAATAGGTAAGAGGCATTCCTAAAGTATGGCGGTTTCCGCCTCTTATTTGTATTTTGTGTTATTTTATGGGCAGTAGTACGGATTTATTCGATACATCCATTCAAAGGCTTCAATTTTCCTCATTGTGGACACTTTCAAGGTCCAGTAAGAATACAGAATAACTGTAGCATGCAATATCGGGTATTTAGTGTTAAGTCTCTGTTACAAAACATTTTTTAACCTCGACAGCCTGATCCAAATCTGCAGCAATATAACACACAAGAGAATTGAATTTAACTACTCGTATCACTTCGATATTTAATCTTATATTCATGGCCGATGTCCCTTTTTGGGAATAAGAATGGTTTTATTATTGGCTGTTGTAACTCCATTCTTATTTTCTACCTTACATTGTTTAAAATACCTTAAAGTCCCTTAAAGCTTAAAATTTTTATATCAAAAACTATTATTAGAAAAATTCTTATTTAATATTTTTAGATTGACATCCATCAACACTGCAATTTATCCGTTTTCTTTAGCTGTCCCTGTCACTGAATGGTGAACGATACTAAAGGAACTATTTTTTAAGGCGATATCCACATAAACTATAAGCTTCACATCATATTTTAACCCAGAGGTCTCCTTGAATTGTATAATCGCTAATTGAGGTTAAAGCATCTTATTTAGGGTGTTGTCAGATGGTATATAATGGTTATATATATATATATATATATATATATTATATATATATATATATATATATATATATATATATATATATATATAATACATATAATATATATAATATATAATATATATATATATCATATATATATTATATATATATATATATATATATATAAATATATATATATATATATATATATATATATATATATATATATATATATATATATATATATATATATATATATATATATATATATATATATATATATATATATATATATATATATATATATATATATATATATATATATATATATATATATATATATATATATATATATATATATATATATATATATATATATATATATATATATATATATTAAATATATATATATATATATAGTGTTCGAAGTGTTTTCGGAGCGCGAGCATTGAAGATGCCAAGTGAGATTTTGGCGAAACGTCTGCTGGATTCCAGTCGGATGCAGGATTCCAGTCGGAGTTCAACGAGCGAACGGATGATATCCCGGAGTATAGTGTCATCATATATATATATATATATATATATATATATATATATATATATATATATATATATATATATATATATATATATATATATATATATATATATATATATATATATATATATATATATATATATATATATATACTAATACACTAATAGATATCTGAACGCTAAATCTCATCACCACCCATCACAGATACAGGCAGTGGCAAATACATTAATTGCTCGGTCCTTCAGGCTCACAAACGAGAGGAACAGAGATAAAGAACTGAAGAAAATTAGTACCTGTCTTCGACAAAACGGATACCAAAGGCGCACCATCAGCAAGGCAATCAGTAAACAACAACAGCCACAGCAGAGAGTGCAGGACGAGACCCAACGAAGATCGATCGCTGTCCTGCCATACATCAAGGGGGTTACTGACAAAATCGGCCGAATATTACGGAAACCCGACATATCAACGGCATACAAACCTGACCATACCATCGGAGCAATACTAAGAAACCCAAAACAAAAAAATACTCTGGAAAACCAAGGAGTATACAGTGTAGCATGCGGATCGTGCAGCCTGACGTATGTGGGACAGACCAACAGAAGGATTTCAGCCAGGCTCGAGGAACATCGTTTAACCATAAGAAACAAACAAAAAACATCTGCTTTGTTTCAGCACCAACATCAGACAGGCCATAAAATTGATTTCGGCACTTGCAAACAAATAGCTAATATTCCTGATTTTAGGACTAGGATTATACGAGAGGCCATCGAAATAGAAAAGTCCGGACACCTCAATACGAGAGACGACGCTTTGCACTTATCCAACACGTGGAGAACGATAATCAAACAGCAGAGCGATGCGCAGCAGCCACCGTGGACATCGCAACTACGATCGGGCGAAATTAACAACGCGACAATTCGGGGGGCGGAGCCACATCCCCCCACGCACAAGCAGCACCGTTACCATCTCCGGCGCAGAGTATAAATACCGCAAGATCGTTTTCTTATTTTTGAATGTCAATTGTTTGTCAAAAAAAACAAACAGTACTTCCTGAATGGTGGGTAGTGTAGTGGATTATGTTTCAATTTTTAGTACGCAGTTAAATCCTTATGTTCTTTTATATTTTCTCTCTTTTTCTATAAATTTTGTTCATTCAAAATATAATGTTAGTATCATAAAACTATGCTTTAATTTCTAGATATATAATTTTGCGGGCATCTTTTTTTTTTTTTTTCGATTATACATAGTTTTGAGACTGAACTTTGACCAGTTCTAAATTATCTACAATCCCTTTTTGCAGATAATTATACAAATATGTTTGTTGTCATTAATTTGCTGCGAATAAACTTCATTTATTATTACTATTATTTGTAGGAGTGTGTTGACCATATCTGTCAAACTGAAACTTACTGTTACTTGTTTTAAGTCTATGTGGACGCCGTATATGGATCGTGCTTATATCAAGAAAATACCAACAGAATTCAGAAAATTCAAAAAGCATACTTTAAATTTGCCTATAATGTTCGGAAATATGAGCTGATTAGTCATAAACTCAATGATTCTAAGGGGCTATCTATGGAAAAAAGGCGCCAGCTTATTACAGTGTGTCTGTACCACAAAATAATCCATAATAAGTGCTCATGTTACCTGAAAGAAATTTCTTTTAAACCCAAGTGCATAAGTTGAATTGAAGGTTCAGAGGTATCATATCCCCTCCTCACCACAAGACGAAAATATTTGACGAGCTTTCAATGTATTATAAATATTACAATTAGGTACCTAATACCTTGAAACGTTTAAGCTCACCAACATTTAAAAAATATATTAAATACTCCCACACAGCGGCTTATACCCGTGTCTGAGGAATGACCTGCTATTTTCAGGCAAAAATTGTTAATGTTTACGTCGTCTTTTGCTCTTGCTCTTTCTCTATTTTTGTTTTTGTTAATTCATTTACTGGGTCAGAACTGATATTTTTTAAATTGTTTTCTGGCGCTTTTTGCAAATATATTAATATGATTTTCTTGTATTTTAAACTCTGTTGTTTGCAAATAAACTATTTATTTATTTATTTATATATCTAAAAATAGGTCTGCATTTTTTTTAAATGTTCATAATTTTTCATCTCATAAAAATGTATATTTGCTTTATTTGTTCATTTCGATGCATATGTCGCAGGCAAATGGTAATTCTAGCCAAGTGGCTTTTGTCTAGCCAAATAGCTTTGGTCTAGGCAAATCCTATCTGCCTGGGCAAATAGTTCCTTCTCTTTTTAAAGTGCTAAATAACTAGGCAAATGCTATTTGGCAAATAGAAATGGAAATATTTGTAATAATGATATACATATTTGTATTACATTAATAATTGTAGAAATTTTTTAGGAAAATGGAAATGTAATTATTTGTAATAACAAAATAAGATCCAGTTTATGTAATGAATATTTTTTATATAAAATGAAAAAAACTAATTCCACAAATAATAAGAAAACGTAAACATGTAACTTAAACAAAATTTGTACATTAATTGTAATGTATTGCTAAATACAAACAAAATAATTCTAAAAAACTACGAGTGAAAAATAAAAAATCTAAACATGTTCATAAAATTTATAAAAATTATTACAACACATCCCTCAAAACACACTCTAAACATATGCCTAAACATCATTAAATCTCACAGTCAGTTATTTAACAACGAGTTAGGCAAATGATATTTTCCTAGGTAAATGACTCTTAAATAAAAATTATTTTCATGAAGCCATTTGTTTAGGCAAAAGACATTTGCCTGAAACTATAATTTGCATACAACAAACATATTATAAAAATTTTTTCGCTCCTTATTTATAACAATTGATGACCGTGGCCAAAATAAGTACTAGATTTTCTAGCTGTCAAGCTAATCCCCGGAGGGCAACATATTAATAAAAGAAATATAACTTCAGAAATAACAGATTTTACTTACGTAGCTGCTCGGGGTTTCAGCAATCCGGCCATGTCTTTGATAGCCAACACATGGGTTCCGGCTTTCACCAACTCGTCAGCAATCTTCAGGTAGTAGTTAAGGTCGTACTTTTTCTTTTCCGGATTACTGACGTCTCCAGAGTACGAGATCGCCGCTTCCACTATACCGCCCGCTTTTCCCGCCGCTTCCATGCCCACGAAAATGTTGGGCAGATAATTTAAAGAGTCAAACACTCGGAACACATCCATACCGGTTTCGACCTGATTGAAATGATTTTAAGTAAATCTTACAATACCAAATTGGTGATACTCACCGCTAGTTCGCAAAATTTGAACACCACATTATCTGGATAGTTGGTGTATCCCACTGCATTAGCGCCTCTCAGCAGCATTTGAAACGGAATGTTTGGAATAAGCTTGCGCATGTCTTCCAACCTTTCCCACGGACACTCGTGCAAAAACCTAAAAGCAACGTCATGGTTTGGTTTTTAGTAAACTCGATTGTAGCGCCAGGGGTATCCACCTGAGAGCTACGTCAAAAGTAGCACCGCCCCAGTTTTCCAAGGCATAAAGGTTGGAGAAATTGTTCGCCACGAAGGGTGATATGTTCAGCAGATCGTGAGAGCGCACCCTAGTAGCCAAAAGCGATTGATGGGCGTCTCTGAAGGTAGTGTCCATCAGCAGAAGCCCCTTATGGGACCGCACGGCCTTCGCGAAAGCTTCCGGCCCTTGTTCCTTGTAAATTTGCCGGAAGCCTTTTGGAACTTGGGCACCTACAAAGATTTTATGCTCATGCTTTTTTAATTTCATGTTGTTATCGGGAAGTCCAGTTAATTTGTCTAATGTCATTGAGGATCAACTCATGTGCAAAAAGGGGGTTTATTTCGTATACCGTCCAACGGGGCTACTTTGTCACAACGGGATAACTTTTTTGTTTTCTTTTCTTTTACTTTATGTTAATATCAGTTTTTAATGTTACAGATACTAAATAATGAAAAATGGTAAACTATTACGAAAAAGTTCCGGAAACGTGGAGTTACCGCAACTATTATAGCGAAGACCTAAGAAAAGCGTTATTACGAAGCGTTATGCCTAATAGGCATAACGCTTCGTAATAAGTCTCTTGGTATACGCATTTTGTCGAAAACTTTATCAAGAAACAAAATCTTTCCACAAAAATAACAACAAATATTAAAAAATCAAGCTTGTCCGTAGATAGAACCGACAGAAACTTTCGTAGTGTAGAATGAGTGCAAAACTATTCTCGGTCCTATCGGCATAATGGTCTGTGTACAAAATTTCCAATTTATATGAAAAATGGTGTACTGGAAGACCCCCTGGAACTGTTTATGGGACAGCCCAAATAAAAGCTGCCAAGGAATCAGAAACACGTGCAGTTGTCCCAGAAAGTTTGATGCAGCCCCTAGATGTGAGTATTTGCATCCTTTATGAGGAAGTGGCGCGAAATATTAAAAAAATGGCGAAAGGAGAGCAGATATTCTAGACCTTTACGCAAGCCTTACTTTCACTTCTGTGGAACAAAGTTTTAGAGACTGTAGAGACAAATTTGTAGTCAGGCTTTAGAACTATCGAATTGTATCCAATGAATGTTGATGAAGTCTTAAGGAAGATTCCTGGAGGATTGATGAAAACTTTGAAGAACCTGAACGACTAATTGATTCAGCATTGGTAGGAATGAGGGGAACAAGCTCAGACCAGAAAAAAAGAAAAATGAGAAATAAGTTTGAACTGGAAAACAAATGACTATTGAAGACTAAGCCATTCCCAGTGAACAGATCCCAGGAGAATTGCCTTGTTTCTCCAAGGCCTAAAGAGCGTCCTCCTATTAGTATAACAAAAGCAAGTTTGCAAAGTAGGGGCGATTTAAAATCAAAATGTACCATATGACATGTGGTTTTTACAAGCTCCAAAAAAACTTTTTTTCTTGACCAAAAAAAAAACAAAAAAATTGAAATGAATGGTTTTTAATTCTGCGTCCATTATTAAAAGGCGTTTTATATCCAAATTAAAATTTGTTTCACAGTATTGTTTTTAGATCAATTTGGAGCCCAGCAATTGATTTGTTATAATCTAATTTATTTCACAAAGTTAGATTAATAAATAACTTCATCGTATTGAAAAATGTCCTAAAAACGTGACAAAATAGCCCCATTTGACGATATTCTCTGGATTAGTAATATGTTGTAAATAAATTTGTCAATCTTGATTTGTTGTAGCATGCTGCTTTTACATGGACATTCCATAAATATTCAGCAGTTGCGTAAAGAAAAAACGCTCCTAATAATTTTTTTCTGTTATCATATTTACAACATAGCCTCGGAGCGTAGTTGACTTTGTCTACGTTGAATTTTGATGGAATTATCCATTGGATAACCGTGGCATGACCAGTAAGCAATGACCAGAACTGAAATGTTTTGATGGTTCATACTTACTAACAGACAAGGGTAAAAAATATGTATACTAACTTGGTTTCTGTTCGGCAGTGTAGGCCAGATACTCTGTTAAAAGAAAAACAAACGAAGCATGCTATTAAACAATAATAAAAATCAAATTAACTAAAAAGACTTTTTACGAAAAAATAAATCAAAACTACAATAAGTACACAGTGTGACAATTTTATAAAGGTGTCATGAAATTAAGCACTCACCTAGAGAGGTTGGAGGGATTTTAGGCTTGACCTCGGCGGGCTTTAACGTCGTCGCCAGGGGAGTTTGAGGGCCGTTAACCAGCAGAGTCGCCAGATAGTTGAGGAGCTTCTGGGCTCTGTTCTTCGTGGGGGCGAATTTAAAAAGTTGCGGATTTTCATCGATGAAGTACGTATCAACCGAACCGTTGAGAAACTTTTCGTTTTCCAATACGTTCAGCAAGAAGGGAATATTCGTTTTCACTCCTCTGACGCGGAACTCACGAAGAGCTCTACCATCGAGAAGAATGAATTGTCAATTGCGTTAAGAGGATTTAATATTGACTTATACCTGTTCATTTTGGCGCACGCCGACGGCAAATCATTCGAATGAGCTATGACCTTAACCAATAGGGAGTCATAATAGGGTGAGATGATAGCTCCAGCGAACGCTGAAGCGCCGTCCAGCCTAATACCCATACCTTCACCCGATCGAAACACTTCGATTCTACCGGTGTCGGGTTGAAAATTTTTGGCGGGATCTTCGGTGGTTACTCTGCATTGGATGGCGAATCCCTGAATACAAAGTCTAGTCTTAGTAGAACGTCTACGACAGCAAAAAACCGAAAGTTTTGAGTTGCGACAAAATAACTTTTTTAACACATTTGGAGTGGGAACTTTTGGCTTCTTTTGGTGTACCTAGTTTCCACCAAAATACAATTCTGGTAGAATCTTTCGATGCAGTCAATTTATCTTTATAACATTTTTGATGGTTGTATATTTTATCAGTGTTCAATAGATCACGTTATTCTCAATCCAGTTATATAAAAAACTGATTTTATATGTTGCATACTATTAGATGAAGTTTTGTAACCATCATATGTACACAAATGATAAAACTAATGTAGTTATAATTTTGGAGTACGTAAATAGCGTTTGCCATAAGGTTGTACTAAGTTTGCTATGCAAAATGCTTATCTCTTAAATATCTTTAAAGCTCTTTTCCAAAACTAGTCACGCTGTTAAAACTATCTATTGATTCTGAAAGACAAAAAATGTAATCTTGTATAATAATGAGAATGAAGCATATCTTTATTTAAAATCTACACATACATTAAATAGTGTAAAAAAAATAACAATATTTAAAATTTCCATTTTTTGATATGAAATTCTTCCATCGTGATATGAAATTCTTCCATATTAAAAATTTCTTTCTAATAATTTTCATGCAATGGTAATAAAACTCGGTGATCTGTATTTGTGAATCACTGAAGGTGAAAAGGGATATATTTTTTAACGCAACGTTTAACTCTTTAAACTTTCCTCTGAAAGGCTGTCAACATTCTAAACTTTGAAGAATTCTTATTACATGCTTTTGTACTATAAAGACTTTCTCACACTCTCTACAGCTTTCTCAGCATTCCATACCTAATGTGACTTTCAAAATTTTCATGATAGAGCGTCATTTAAGTTTTGATGTCTATTTTAGAACCCGAGAAGTATTTAATTTACCCAAAACATAACCAACGTGGGAATATCAAGTTAACAAATAACATATTGTTAGTTCTACCTCGTGGCTATTGAGATTTATAATCTTTGGATCAACTACTTTGCACTTTTTCGTCTTGAATAATGTTATATTTGTTAAATTTATTCTAATTAAATCAATGTTCGACTCTCTTTATAGAGTTCGCGGCAGAATAGTTATATCAGTGATAACTAAGAAAAAACTTTTAACGCCCGCATGGTTATTTATGTGAATTACAAACAAAATTCTATTCCATTTTCCATTTTTGCAAATGTTTTGAAAACCAGTAGAATAAAATATAGTGTGTTGTGATGAGAATAACCTAGTTCTATTGAACACCGATGAAATAAGGAGACTATTTAATTTAAAATATCCAATAGGCCGATATCTCAGAAAATTGTTTGTGGGTTGTTTTGACCTACATTTTCTTTTCTTACCTAAGTTTAATACTTATCTATAAAAATAAAAGAACTACAGCCAGGCCAAATGTTATCAAGACTGATTGTTATTAGATTTATGTTGCTCCCTGTAGACCTAACTTTCAGTTCAAGTTGTTTACTGGATAATTCAAATTGGGAAATTTAAAAGGTTTTCCAGACAACCATCTTGTTTGTATAGCTATTAGACAATATAGTCGCCTTACCACGATAAAACTGGATATGCCTCAGGTGGTTATGATATTTTCGTAGGGATCAGAATAATAAATTTCACCCTCTAATCTACACTTTGCACCATTTGCTTTCTAAACACCGATATCCACTCACTTATTTCCTTTTTGCGTAAAGATTTAATGGGATATGGACTTTTTTTTCATAGTTGTCTCTTAAGTTCCTGTATTATCAGCGTAGACAGGACCACTATTTGTCTAGTAGCTATACGATTTTGGTATAGTCATGGTCAATGGTCATGACTTATTCGGCCTATCAGAAACGGAAGCCCCGAGCAATAAACCAATTTATCAGTACATGGAGCTATTTTTACTTTAGAAATTTTAAAATCATTTGGGCTTTCTCATTAGTGTTGTTGAAGCCATTATTTATGTTTAGACCGTAGGTTGAAGAAAATAAAAAAAAGTAAAATCCGTATAACATTTAGATTTTTATCTGTATTATCGGACAATTAAAAACTCTGAAATATCTTTAACAAAGCAAATAAAAAATTACCTAATGATTTATATTTTTTAATGCAAAATTTGTCTTTAGGTCTTCTAAAGAAGCTGCCATTGGGAATACAGTGGAGATAACTGACGTTCCAAGGCCAACCATTCGCCTATTCCGCTATAAGATTCCCTAAAAAGCTATAATGAAAGTGTTCAGGAGCTCCCCCCCCCTCACACAATATATAACAATATATAAGCAAGTACAGAGTAGAATGCGAGCCACAAGCAATACGTCAGAAAGTTCGATTCAACAACAGACGCAGAAGGAATCCAGTTTTAAGAACAAAATCGTACGATAAAACTTATTTCGTAGACAAGGTGATAAAAAATCTGGTAATATACTTCTTAGATTACCACCTTATCACGGCGATTTAAGCCATAAATTATATCCTTGGATGATAGTGATAGCACTGATTCAAACTGTTCTAGTGATGAATTTTATTTAAGATGTATTTATTATTTACATAATTCCAGCGATAAGGTAAGCAATTTTCTTACTACTACCCTGGACCGGTTTGATTTATTGGTTTCTTGGCCTATGCGTATGAGCAGATAAAGATGTTAATACCATTATTACAGTCATGACCATTTATCGTTACGGGGGTTTTTAAAAAGTTTACATTTTTGGGGTATTGTTTGCAGAGATATCGCGCAAAGACTGTGAACTTACGTTCGGTTTAACAGTATCTTGGGTAATACCCAGCTCCGGCAAGGTCATACCTTCGGCGATCCGGATCTGGCTTTGAACCAGATCGAGACTGGTGATCTCTTCAGTGACCGTGTGTTCGACCTGCAAACGCGCGTTCACCTCAATGAAATAGAAATTTCCGTTGGCATCGCATAGAAACTCCACAGTACCTGCGTTCTCGTAACCCACATGTTTGGCCAGTTTCACGGCCAGCGAGGTCATTTGCTCGCGAATGTGGGGATCTAAATGTGGCGCCGGCGCCATCTCAACCACCTTTTGATGGCGCCTTTGTACGGAACAGTCTCGTTCGTACAAATGCACCACATTACCGGCTTTGTCGCCTGCAACAAAAAATAAAATGAAACCACAGGTAACTTATTTCCTATAGTTTCTCCATTAGTTTATTTATATCAGCAATTATTCTTCTATCTTCATTAATAGGCACAATCCAATCTCTTAACCAAACTAATTTGCGAAAAATTACAGCCTACTAATCCTAATTTTAATTAAAATTTTAATTTTAATTATTGCCAGATTATAATTTTATCAATTTATTTATTCCAATAACTAAATAATTTTAAAATAATTAAACTTATTTTTTCATTAAATTTTTTATCTCTCAGTGGTCTGCCTCCATTTTTACGTTTCTTCCCAAAATTACATTTCTTAATAATTTGATCAATAATATTCTTTATTTATTTATTAGTTTATTAATACTCTTATCAGCTGTAATTATAATTTCTAGTTATATTCGCATCACCCTACCCATAATGATTATTCATATAAAAATAATTTTTACTTCAAAAAAATATTCATATAATTTCAAATTTTATATTCACTTAACTAATATTATTTCATTAATAATTTTCTTATTGCTAATTTTTTAAATTAAAGAATTTAACTTAAAAAAGCTCTTAACGTTAAAACTCTATTTCTAATTCTTAATTTTATAAACAATAAATATAAACTTCCTTTAAGCTTGCAAATTAAAATCCTATTTTCTATAGACTACATAGTTTAAATATTGATATATAGATATTGGTACACTATATTTTATTCTAGGATCATGATAAGAACTTCTCTAAGTTTCATTATTCGAATTGAATTAAGAAGTTCAAAAACTTTAATCGGAGATGATCAAATTTTCAATGTATTTGCATTTATCATAATTTTGTTTATAGCACTGCCAATTATACTTGGGGGATTTGGAAACTGATTAGTGCCTATAATACTTGGAGCCCCAGATACAGCTTCCCGTGGTATAAATAATATTTTTGTTTATGAAGTTTTTGAATCCTACCTCCCTCTCTAACCCTTCTATTAATTAGTAGGTGCGGGAACTGGCTGAACCGTTTATCCAGCTTTAGCATCCAATATCGTTCATCAATTTTTAGTCTACACAGGAATCTGCTCTATTAAAGGAGTTACTAATTTTATTTCAAATATTATCAAAATGCGACCTAATAATATACTTATAGACCAAATTTATTTATTTACCTGGTATTACTGCTCTTTTATTACTTCTCTTCTTGTCAGTCCTTGCAGGAGCTATCGAAATATTAATACCCCCATTTTTGGACTAATCTGAAGTTTACATTCTAATTCTTCCAGGATTTGGGATAATTTCTTATATTGTTTCTGAAGAAAGAAATAAAAAGGAAACTTTTGGAACTTTAGAAATAAATTATGTTGTGATAGCAATTTACGTTTTAGGATGTGTAGTCTGAGCTCATCATATATTTACTATTGATATGAATGTTGATACACGAGCTTATTTTACTTCGGCTACTACAATTATTGCTATTCCAACTGGAATTAAAATGTTTAGACGATTAATTAAACTTTGAACCTACTACTCTTTCATTTCTAGGATTTATTTTTCTATTTACTATTGAAGGATTAACTGGACTAATTCTAACCAATGAAGAAGTTACATTATACGTAACTGCTTGAGATCGATGCTGAATATTGAAATAAAAATTTGGTGATTAAGGCATTTAGAGTAATCTACAAGGGTTAGTAGTGTCAGCCGGTAGCCCTAAATATATCATCGGTTATATGTAGTTGAGCTGTAGTGCAGCTATGCCTCGCTTTATGTTGAGTAACGAGGATAATCCAAGTGAAGCTACATCTGTTCCTCTATAACCCTTTCTATGATTTTTGAAAAATTAAGTGAAATACTGATAGGGCGAATATTAACTAGACTTGTTGGATTTACAATTTTTGGTAAAGGTATGGCTAGTGCCTTTTTCCAGGAAAAAAGAATATTTTAAGCAATAATTTATAACACGCGTGATATGAGGCCGACATTAATTGATTATAGAAATATTGATACCATCGCACCCTACTGCCTTAGTCTTAATAGTTTAAATTTTCCGCAATACATCAGGTTCGGTTAAAGGGGTAAAGGAAAAAATATATTTAGTATTTAGTTTAGTACTGTAGGTATAATATGAAATTAAATCGTTATTATATATCCTTAACATTACATATGCTTGCAGCTAAATCACTCTTTCACCCTTTAGTAGTCCTATAGTCCTCATACCTGCCCATACATTCTTTTGATTGGTCCTATGATAAATAAGCTATTGTAATACACTTTATTTTCGTTTTTTATGGCCGCAGCTACTATATTTCTCAGATTTTCATAGGCCAGCTAGTCAGTCTTTTTAAATGTAGATAATGCCTTGTTTCTAGTAACTACCATGTTAACAATCTTTTTAATTTTAAACCCCAAACTTTTTGAAGCAACCCTGTATGTCCAAGATACAAATATTGTTGTGAAATTTTTTTCTCGCCAAACAAGGCTTTTAATCAACAATAGGAGAAACGCACAAATTTACCCAATCACTTCTTCAGACATTCGATAAAAAGAGAGCTTAAGGCTTAAATGTTCTTTGGGTTACTCTATAGCAAAACATTTTCAGGGTCGCGGTGTTGCCGTTTGCATAAAGGGAATTAGTACTCGGGACTCTCAGCAATTTCGGATTACCAAATCACTAACGCGGCTTTAAAAAATTTAATTGGAGTTTGTTACGGACGAAAAATACGGAATATAATTAATATTTAGAAAACCCATAGACACACGAAAATGATCATAAAGTGACAGTGAAGAGAAAACAATGGAACAATATACAGGGTTTATTTCGAAATCAAATTCAATAAATAAAATGATAGTTCAAATGCCTTAAATTTTCAGCAAATTGCTATGTATAATATACAAGGTGTCCCAATATGTATTACTAAATGGATAACTTTGTTAATGTTGATCTTACGATGAAGTTTAAATTGCAAAAGTTGGAAAATTTTTCTTAAACCTTCTGATTCTGCAATAAAAAATATAAAATAAAATTTGCATTTGCAATTTTGACAGTTCGATTTTTTAAAAAAATTGAATACCCTGTATTTGAAAGTGTCAATCGAATGAATTTTTTCCTTCCGATTTCAAATATAGATGATTTGAAATATGGCACATTTTATCTAATACTGAACATAAAATTTTTAATGAGAGGAAAAAAACCTCTACGCTGAGTGAATATTACATGTCAGATATTGAAGCCAATACAAAAATGGCCAATGCTTATAAAACAATGTATGAACAAAGTCAACATCATGCCAAAGGATTACAAGACGCCCTTGCCGAGGTAGATTTTTGTTTTTATATAAGTCAATATTGTTTCAAAAATCAAATTAGCCTTTAGTTAGCTTTTTTTTTAAATATAGCAAAAGAGTTTAATTGTTGTATGGTTTTACATTGTGTAATATTGGTAATTATTATCACATTTTAAGTTAACTATATTTTCATTTATTAACAACATATTACTTACCTAATACTAACCAAAAAAATAACAATATTACGTAGTTAATTATTATCAAAAATTCTAAGTTTATTTCACAATAAACAAACGAGATGACAACCATTCATCTACACATATACATGAAAAAGTTTGTGAAGGTTTTCGATACAACTTCTAAGAAGTTCTGGTTGGTCATTTGGGGCTTCAACTTCTTCACATATTCTGTTTTGTATTTCCAGAATTAATGCCGGCCGGCCGTCTTCTATATACGCTAGAATTAGGAGTAAGATCTGGTCTGTTAGGAGGCCAGCTTATTGCACCATTTTGTTCTATCCAGACATTGTTATTATTTTGCAAATAGTCTCTTAAGTCTCTTACATTGTGATATGGTCTGCCTTTCTGTTGCCATACTAATTTGGAATCACAGCAGGAGGTAACTCCTAGATATATTCATCTACTCTAATTCAAAGGAAATCGAAATATCGATCGCCTGGCCTTGCACCCCAGAAGTCTAGACGAGTTTAGGATCCGGGTATTGTTAGTGTAGTTCTTTGCAGTGTGATTATACAATTTTTTGTAGTCTGTAATTTTGTTGAATGTCGAAATGTTTTAATATTTTAAAAACAAATCCGCCTGATTTGTGTTATATACGTATCAAGTATGTGCAAAGTAGTAAATAAAAAAAAGAAAAACAAAATAGTTAACTCTACATTAAAATGGTATTTAAACAAGCGTAAAAGTTGGATATTTTGTTGGAATTTTTTTAAATGTAACGAAAATCAGGCTAATCGTTGCAGTGGGCTGCGAGTGACTCCAATAAAAAAATACGTTTTATAACATTTATAGTCGGTTGAAAAATAGCGGCTTAGCCAAAAAAAAAGAAGACAAGTTCCTTGTGGCGCGGGATATGAATTTAAGAAAAAGTAAAATTTATCCGATTTCAAAGACATAAAATGCACGGTTATAAGTTGACAAGAGTTCAACATCTTATAGATGAAGACAAAAAGAGACTTCATGACTCTTGCAGCATTATGTTAGAACGAATTCAATAATCACCTAATTTTATTCACAACATACTGTTTACAGATGAGTCGTCATTTAATAGGGCTTCACTGACTAATTTAAAAAACGGAATTATTTCTTCTGGGACCTTGTTTTTTCCATGGAAGTATGATGGTATGATGGTGATTGATATTTCGATATCCTTTGATTTAGAGTAGAAGAATATATCTGAGAGTTACCTCTTGCTTACTCCAAAAATCGTCGGTATATAGAAGAAGGCCGGCAACAATTTTCGAAATACAATACAGAATACGATAAAAAGTTGAAGCCCTAAATGGGCAACCAGAACTTCTTAGAAGGTGTATCGAAAACTTCCAGAAACGTTTTCGTATATTAGACAATAGAAAATCACACAACAAAGAAACTCTTCTTCTATATTTAAAAAAGCAACTAATTTAGTTTTCATTGTTAATTTCATTTTTGAAACAATAATTATTGACTTCCTTACATCCAATATTGAGTAAAATAAGCGATATTTCAAAATCTGTCAGGAGAAAAAATGCAATCGATTGACACATTCAAATACAGGGCATTCAAACTTTAAAAAATATCGATCCGTCCAAATTTAACAGATAATAACATTTTTATTTTATATTTTTGATTTAATCAGAAGGTTTAAATGCTTCAACTTTGGTAATTTAAACTCCATCGTAAAAACAATATTTCCATCAATATCACATAAAAACCAAAAAAGAAATTAACTGTCAAGAAATAATTAAAATTTTTGTAGTTCCCGTTTCAGGGCTGAAAACACTGAAAGACAAAAATATGGCGTTAAGCAAAAAATGAACAAAGAGATTCTTCAGTGCTTAGAGCTTTAATTTTTTTTTCCGATTATTTCCCTTTTTGTGCGAATGTCATAAGCCAACTACAGGATTGAGAAAATTATTTATTATGGAATGGAATCTTTCTTATGGAACCCCACTAAGATATTATAAAATCATGAATTAAATATTGTAAAGAACTATAGGTAGTTATAGCAACGAATTGATTTACGTTATAGAAAAATAAATTTCTAATTTCGTACCTAATAACTGTACCTCGATGTGGCGGGGCCTCTCTATAAACTTTTCGATAAACATAGCGCCATTTCCAAAGGCGCTAAGAGCCTCCGACGATGCCCTTTGGAAGCTTTCCTCCACGTCTTCAATGTTTCTCACTACCCGCATCCCTCTGCCCCCGCCGCCGTAAGCTGCCTACAAAAATACGGCACGTTTTTATACCGTCAAAGTGAGACAAAAGGGAATGAAAAAATGAACAATGACAGCTGATCGAAAATTCCAAAAAATTGGAGTAATATTTTTGTTACTTCCCAATGTAAGACAAAATGTTTTTTTTCTACTCCCGTCTGTAAAATACTTAATTACGCACCGCGTAATTAGGTATTTTAAGTGCGGGAAGCGTCGCTTTACCACGTCAGTTTCGTTTCCCACGAATCCGAGCCACTTCGGACATTTCCGGGATTTTACCGCACGGGGTTTGGGAGCAATCGGATGTTTTCGGAGATATTTCCCACGATTTGAATTTTGACGTTTGTCAATTCTGACAGTCATGTCAGTGAATGTATTTGTGTTTTGCGAAAATGTACCCAAAAACTAACGGTCGTAGAAAAAGTATAGTATGCAACACGTTCGGTAAACTTTTTGACTCACTTGCTCCGCTCGTGTCAAATAAACTCGTGAGTCAAATGCCATTTACCGCACTTGTTGCATATTATACTATTTCTGGTCCCGTCTGTAAAATGCCTAATTACACATGGACGTAACCAGCGAGAAGCGTCACTTTACCACGTCAGTTTCGTTTCGTTTGGGAGCAATCGGATGTTTCGGACATATTTCTCACGCTTTGAATTTTGGAAATGGGAAATATGGATTTCATGTGCGGGGGCCCAATCAGAAATTCTTTAGAGCCATAATAGTATATTATGCAACAAGTGCGGTAAACGGCATTGAGTGTTTAATAAACGAGTGACTTAAAAAGTTTAGTTACTATACTTTTTCTACGAGCTTTAGTTTTTGGGAACATTTTCCCAAAACAACACGAATATATTCAATGACATGACCGTCAAAATTGACAGACGTCAAAATTCAAAGCGTAGGAACATCAGATTGCTTTCAAACCCGTGCGGCAAAATCCCGGAGATGTCCGAAGTGCCTCGGATCCATGGGAAACGAAACTCATGTGCTAAAGTGTCGCTTCCCGCGCTCTAGATTGGCGTGTAATTAGGTATTTTACAGACGGGAGTAGAAAAAAATTTGTAAGTTACCTTACTTAATTTTACTTCGAAAAACAATTACTCTTGAGGCAGCTGCAGCTATGAATATAATGTAATGTAATAAAACTTTTTCGTATAAAATTTTTTTTTTTTGGATTTTTAGTTAGCTTTATATAAACATCTAAAAAACTATAGGTAATTGTGGTTTTTAAGTATTTTTTTTTACATCGTTTTAACTTAAATGACGGTCAATGGTTTTTGTAGTATAAAAATGAAATTAGTTTTAACCAAGTTTTTGAAATGAATTTTGCTAGAAACATGCTTAGTTTAATACCAAAAGCCCTAAAACTACCAAATTCTGGTGCCTACACTGACTGTTGTTTTTAAAAGCTCTTGCTTATGCGAGGGTGATACCTATAGTTCTAATGGCCGAAATTTACGTGGAAGAGTCTATTAATAATAAATTTCAAATACTTCGGGATTATATACTATCACCTTCAAATTAAAAAAATTGAATTCGGAATTATCTTGTTTGGGAATAAATAAATTGTTTAAAAAACTAAAACAAATATTTTTAATCAAATACTTTATTTCGGGCGTTTTAATGATTACATCAGAGACCCTAATTATTGAATTTTGAAAGTTACTTTCAACAAAAATTTTTAATGTTAATGTTAATAATCGAATAAGGTCCTCAATAACCCAGAAAAATGCATTTCTATATCTTTAACCTAACCTAAAACATGAATAAAAGAATTTATTGCTTAAGAAAAAGATAGATTTTTTCTATTATTAACGACTAATTATCCAGAATTAGAATTAGAAATTACTTAGAATGCCAAATGACATTTAAAATGTAAATAGAATATTGTTATTTTTCTTATGCTTTTCCTTAGAATATTTTATAATTAATAATTATTTTTTCATGAATAATTGGATTTGGTCATCTTATTAAAAGTAATTTGTTGAATATTAACCAATTTCATTAATTATTGAAATATTTAAGAAGTAAAATGTGTATTGAAATAGTCCTAACTCGTCGATTTGTTTTAGGCACTGGATGAAGATACGTTTAAATAAGAAGTACCATAAAAGTGCCATAAAAATTTAGCAAATTTAAACTGATTAAAACGAGAGACATTGACAAGCACCATGACATGAAAGATGATTTGTTCTCATGGGAATCGCGACAATTAGAAATGAATTGCTTATATTAAAATAGATAATAGATAGTCTCCAACAATTGATTGATGTTCGAGCTTTTGGTTAACCCTAATTTTTAATGAAAAATTAGCGATAACACTAAATATTTGAAAAATGGCAAGGGTATCAAAAAATAGCAGAAGGTATTATAAAAATAGTAATAACATTTAATTTTGATTTTAAATATAATTTTCCTTCATAGATAATCAATTAGATTTATATTTGGTGATTTCCGGAAAATTAAAGATTAATAAGAACTTTCCAATTCAACGTTTCTTTATTCGTATTTTAGATTAAAATGAAAATATTTAGATGTGGTTTTCACTGGGTTGTTGATGTATGATCTCTCATATTTTTCAATCTGCTGTCTTTATAACAGCATTGCCAATCTTGCAAATTTTAAGAAAATCTTTCTCGCGGTTACTTAACATGTTTAGCTTCTCCACCCCTTATTAATATTTGTATTTATTCATCATTTACAAAAATATGTTAACGTACCGCTATTGCTCTGTGTTTAAAGTAAAAGTTGCAGTCTCAATTTAAATAGTAAAATAAATGTTTTAATGAATGCAGATTCCTCCGTATTTATAAATAAATAAAAATGCATTAATCATTATTATTTAAGAATAAACAATAAACCAAGTAGTAAAAATTCTTATTATTGTTAACTTCCTCAGTATTCGTAATGTATTTTTATGTAAAAAATCTATTAATTTATATTAAAAATAATACATATTGTTATGGAAAGTAAATTTAAACGAAGAAATGCAGATACAAATTTCTATCCGCTTAGTCCAGTATGGTTAATCTCGTCCACAAACGAACGTCACGTGTTTTTTATTCAGCGATTGTTCAATCAAATCGAAATAACGTGCGAGAAATGATTTCGTCCAGACGAATTAAAACGATAAGTGGCTGGCTGCCTTTTTTATAGATAAAATTGAAAGTTTATTAAAGGTTCGTCGATATTAAAATCGGGTTTTCCACTTCAGAACGCATACCGACGATTTTTTTTTATAATCAAATGATTAAATAAATTGTGTGCGAATGTCTGCGAATGTATCTCAGAAAATTAAGAGTAAATTTACTAAATTAAATTTATTTCATTGTTAAAAAATTGCGCAATTTATTTTCAGTGAGATCTGCTTAGTTCGATAATTAATGAGTTTATTTGAATTTAAATGTACGGTGTGACTTTTTGTTATAGGATGATCTCAAAAGCTCTAAAGAATATCAAAAAAACTAAAATACAAAAGTTGTAGACAAATAACAAGTTCCTTATTTTAAATGGAACCTTCTGTATATCAAGGCATAGTTTATTATAATAATCTATATCAAAGTTCGACCGTTGCTTATATTTCTTTCGGGTTAGCGTCCTTATAGGATATACATATAGAGATCCTGCACAAATACTGACATTAAAGAATTGATGGAAAGCATTTGTCAAACCTAAACATTCTATTTTTGTAATATTACGATATCCGGCATTACATAAGTATTATTAAATATTTGTCGTAATAAATTTTGCGTAAATCGGTCAGTAATTATAAATCAGAAATACTTTTAAAAATACAAAGAAATTTATGTTTATTTACGTGCGTTACGTTGCCGTCGCGTCGTTCTGAGTCGATATTTTTATTGAGATTCCCCGGATCGCCAAGTATCGTATTCAGGTATTCTTTGAAAAGGGTTATAGATAAATTGGGCATTACAAACTCATAATAATTTATTATAAAATACGTTTTATTAATTAATAATGACATATAACACGCTACAATTGAATGATGTTATTTAAAACATGTCGCTCGAATTTGACTAGTCAATTAAGATGTAGTCAATTGATCACTTTCTCCAGGGATGAAAATACTAAACGTGAATTTAGTTTGGGTGGTTCTTTTAATAATGTGGAGCGAACAATTATGTTAAGGCGACTCAATGAAGTTTTTTTATTTTTATTGTTTTAAGATTATGCTAACGATCACTTTTGCAAGACAACAAAACCACAAAAGCAATTAATATTCACCTATCGATCAACGATTGGGTAGATAGGCGTGTTAGTGTTATTCCACAGTGTGTGATACTTAAGAATTGTACACATTTGTCAAATTTTTCATTGCGGTTCGATTTTCATATAGGTATTTTACTGGAATACCAACTAACCAAAACTAACGATTTTTTAAACAGTTATGGTTATTTCTTCTCTGTCTTTTGTTAAATAATCAAAGTTGGCTATAACTTTTGGTTCAAGCATTAAGCAAAATAAGGTTTTACTGCATTTTTGAGAGATCCATTTTACAAGGGGTAGAGTTCTTATGCGGGACACACTGTATATTTTCAAGGGCTATATTTGTTGGAGGAGCGCTACCCATTTAGTCGAAAATCAACCCCCTGGAACACCAGAAATAATTCCCATTACTGAAGTTATTTTCCGATGGTAACTGTATAAAACTTCCTATTTCAACAAATTCATAGATTTCGAAATATTAGCAATAAAACTTTTTTCAATTGTAAAAATGTCGTATAATTTGTTCTAGAGAAAAATGTTAAGCACAAAAGTTATAGACGAAACTAAAAGAAAGAATTTGAAATTATTTTCAAATATACAGGACGATTCATAAATACGTGGGAAACCAAACATATATTTTAAAATGGAACACCAAGTGCTTTCGAATTTATGGCCATTTTTTTGCCCTGTCTTCTGTACTCAGTATTTTTGACGACAGATTTATCCTATTCTTGTCTTGAAATTTGTTCGAATCTTTTACAAAAATTGAGTCACATTAAAAAATATTAATTGTCGTAAAAAAATCAAATTGAACACCTTGTTTATTATACTTCCATTAATTACTCCCATTAATTAAATCCAAGATTTAAACAAGAATAATTAACAAATAATTAATCCGAAAACACTCAGTACAGATCACAATAATACGACATTAACTATTAATGTCATAATATACTGGGTATCATATTAAAAATATCAATTTTTTAATTTCCCGCACATTTATGAATCACCCTGTATATTTGAAAATAATTTAAACTTTATTCTTTTGATCTCATTTAAATCTTTTGTAGTCAACATTTTTCTCTACAACAAACATCGAGATATATTACTGTAACACACTTTTTGGACACTCTGCAGTTCAAATATATTCAAATATTCAAATATATTCAAATATTTTCGGCAGAATTTCTAATTTAATGGAAACAAAGGAAAAAATTTTTTCGCAAAATTAAAAATGTACCTATTTATTTTTATTTTTCTTGGTTTTGTTCGTAAAAATGTGTATCTTAAGAAAATGTAGTCTAGGTATAAGGAATGCTTATTAAAATTAAAGTAGCATTAATAAGAATAATTAATGGGAGTATAATATAATATAACATTTTAGAGGGCTGGTCGGGGGATCGAGGTGTCATGGGCATGCCGAGTGACGTCATGATCCCCGAGATGCCCTTCTTTGACAAATGGACCGTTCTCTTCCCATCAAGGGAATAGTGGAGAGAGGACAGACTTGGCTCTTGGGATGGACTTGTCTGGTACACGGACGGGTTCACAATGGGAGATCTGGCCGGAGCTGGAGCGTACTGCCAGACAACGGGATCAAGCTTGTCGATCCCTCTGGGTCAGTACTGCACTATGTTTAAGGCCCAAATTTTTTGCCATATTGATGGCGGTCAGAGAGGTGCTTCGGCTCAACCACGGAAGCAGGAGAGTATTCTTCTGCTCTGATTGTAGGGCTGCACTTATGGCGCTGAAGTCAGTGCGCACGCGCTCCCTGTTGATAAAGGAGTGCAAAGGGGTACAGAGGAAAGTGGCCGACGGGAGGAATATCACGTTGGTCTGGGTCCCGGGTCACAGTGGGATCTGAGGCAATGAGGCAGCGGACGCCTTAGCCAGGGAGGGACCCTCGCACTGGCATATGGGATCAGAGCCCCGCTTGAGGATCGCCCAGTGCGTGAGGCGGGGAGCTCTCGAAGCCTGGGTCAGAGAACGGGCCGCGGTAGACTGGAGAGTTGCTCCAGGACTGAGGCAAACGAGGCTTATGAGGATGGGCCCGCCCTCTCTTATGGAGCGGCTTAGACGGACCAGTAGGGAGAGTAGAGCACTAACAGGGACCTGTACAGGCCTACAAGGCTTAGGAGACATCTTTGCTTGCTAGGCATTGGAGACGACCCGGAGCGCAGGTGGTGCTTGGAAGGTGAGGAGACCCCGTATCATCTGCTCACCGAGTGCCCTGCTTTGACATGGGCAATATTTGGAGTCTTCGGAACGGCCCTGATCGATCCGGACTCAGTGCACGTTATTGGGCTAAAGGAGTTGCTGACCTTCTATAGGAAAGGCAGCATCCTGGACGCCATCTAGCGCGGTCTGGGGGCAAAACGGGCCCATCTGGTGGCCTAAGTGCTTGGACGCCAGCGGAGGCGCCACCTTTCATACCAATACCAATACCATTATCAATGAACGTTTCGAACTAATTTCAAGACAAGTTTAGGATAATTGACTGTACCACTTTATAAAATTGTTGGCATAATAAAATTACAGCGGTCGGAAACGATGTGGCATTAAACACAGAGGATTTTTGAAGAATTAACGCGCATAAAACCGAAAACACGAAGTATAGACCATAACAGCCTTACATGGGGTGATGGAAAGTAAAAGGCAATGCAATAATATACATAGTTACACAATTGTTATATAATTAAAAAATGTTTGGTTTCCCTCATATTTATGAATTACCCCATATATTAAATAATAATTTGACATTGTTTCTTTTAGTTTTATTTGTACCTTGTGTACTTAACATTTGTTAATATAACAAATTATAAATGAGGTATATTACTTTCGGCACCCTGTATAGACGGCGTATTGTGTGTTGTGTGAAAATCTGAACTTTTTTTGTTTTAATTTAATTGTGTGCTGCTGTACATGGTAGAATAAGTCTCTAAACATTTTAAATTAAGTTTTTGATTTGTTACCTTAAAAATCACAGGCAGGCCGTGTTTGACGCAAAACTCTTTCGCTTCTTCTTTGGTCGTTATAGGACCATCGGTACCGGGCACAATCGGCACTCCGGCCGCTATGGCCGCCTCCCTAGCTGCCACCTTGTCTCCCATTTGGTAAACCACTTGGGGTTTCGGCCCGATAAACCTTATTCCCGCGTCGACCACTGCCTGGGCAAAGTCCGATCTCTCCGATAGGAAACCATAGCCAGGGTGTACCGCATCTATGCCGTTGTCCTTGCAAATTTTTATGATCTCGGGAATGTTTAAATAGGCTTGTACCGGCGGCAAACCCTCTCCTACCTGCAAAACACTCCTTCTGGTGAAAACTAATTTTCGAATAACAATGAAAAAGTTTACCAAGTAACTCTCGTCTGCTTTGAGCCGGTGGATATGAGCCCTATCTTCTTTGGAATAGATGGCCACCGATTTGATTCCAAGCTCGTTGCAAGCTCTGAATACTCTGACCGCAATTTCACCCCTGTTGGCCACCAGGACGCTCCTAATCGGTTTGTATTCCACGGCGGAAGAGTAAAATCGCCATTTTCTGCAGGCCCGAGGTACTGTTCTGCTCGTTGCAACCAATCGCAAAAACATTATTCTGCAACAACATTTACGGTCACTAGTAGCCTGACCCTGTTCAAAGTGACATCCAACCTTTTGAAAGTGTCTAATAAAATCCACCTACTATTAAAATCGATATACTGAAATAATTGTTTGTTTGAATTCCGATAGACTCAATGAATCCACAGAACTCGTAGGATTTCATTCGTCCTCAGGGCTTTTAAAAACGTTCCTTAGTTTAAATCAGCAAGCTTCTCTGGGGAAACCAAGAAGCATTTAGAAGAAACTTCTCAAAATTTGAAAACGCATATTACTACGACGATAAATTTAACTTGCTGGTACTCTTTTAAAGATGATTTAAAGTATAATCGGAAAACTAAAAATAAACTTGATGTGTAAATCTTACCCAATAGTAAGCCTATTTATTGTTTGCTGTGTAATGAATTCGTTTCAGTGAGGATAGAATTCAACATAAACTAAGCATTCCATTATAAACTTATTGACAGCACACATAAGAAAAGACAAAATCCAGAAGCTCACCAACATGAGCAGTATTGTCTTGATTCAAAATAAATAAGAACTAAAAGTTCAGATTTTCACGAAATTATATATTATGACATGACAATTGTTTCGACAACACCGTGTCTTTATCAAATGTATAAAGACACGGTGTTGTCGAAACATTGTCATGTCATAATATATAATTTCGTGAAAATCTGAACTTTTAGTTCTTATTTATTTTGATAAATGGATTTTCATCAAGTAAAAGCCACTTCAGTTCAATTGTCTTGATTCCCATATTGGTATTAAAGATCTGCGTCGCGGTTAAGATTGTTTGGTTACCTACAGATTTCTATGGATTCTTGGACTTTTTTTGGTAGAAGGATTGATTACATGCAGGACTTTTAGTTTTATCGATGTTATTCTCCAAATCTCCAAATAACCGGACAATCTCCGCCTCCTTCAAGTAGTATATAGGTAAGTAGCTCTGGATCGTTGGCGAAATTTCAGCAAGTTTGATTTATAAACACGGTTGCGCCGTTACGCAGGAGCAATCCAGAAGATTTGTAGATAGGAGTGTCCCGAATAGAAAAATGAATTTGGAAAAATTAGTTTCTCCAGACAAAATATTCTCCGACGTATAAAATTGATGCCTAATTATATAAAACATTGAGAGACCATATGGCTGGTTTTGAATAATATTCCACAGCATTAGACGAGAGCACTAAACGAGAGGACATTTCTAATAAAGTTCAATTGCTATTCACATGTTCGGATTTTTGGATGAAAGAGCAACTGAATAAAATGTTCAAAGAGATAATTTGATAGTCCGTCATTGCATTATCCACCAAGAGAACTTACGAATGTGGTAGTAAAACCATCCATTTGATTAGGTCTCGAGGGCTTAACGATCGTTAATGCAATAGTTTGTTGGATAAAATATCAGCCGAATAAGACGACGTGATATCTTATAAAGACTGTTTCAATTTATTTGCTACTCCAGCAAAAAGTAATGTACGAAATGTGCTCTAATATACTTGTAAACGAGTTCCATCGAGATTCAAGAAAACTCACTTCTAAAATCTAAATTTGAAGACAAAAAGTACATCGAAAAAGACCATTTTTTACAGATTAAAAAACTTGCAAGAAGATTGATATGTTCATTTCGCAGTACTTATAAATGCGATAATTTGGAAGATTCTTTAAGTCTTTGTATGAGTTAAATTAGTCCAAACATCGATCGATTTTTCACACATTATTTCATGTTGGATATATATCTTTACAAATTATGGACACTACTCGTAAATGTGGCCGGCAAACGTGATTGCGCTTTACAGTTTGATCAACATCATGATGCCAAAGGTGACCATACCTGCCTTATACCGATACGCTGTCGAGTAGCGATTGTGCAAGGTCCAATGTTGTTCGTCGGCATTTATCTGTGTTGTTTGTTTAAAGTTTATCTTAATAATTCCGATCAAATATTTCCGAACATTTTTTTTGCGTCAATGGAACCAACAAACGTTAACAAAGTTGTTTGTAATCACATTAAAAATCTGTGTTACTCTACATACAGGATGTTGACTGCTTTATAATTTTGTCGATATAACGGTCCTATATTTCTTTAATTTTTATAGTATTTGTTAACACTCTCTTGTAGGTTTTTATGTATCTGGATATTTTATAGAAATGCTAGATTCTTTTTAATAAAAGTTGATCCGTCGTTGGATATTAACAATTTTTTCTACTCCCAACTCCAAAATACAAGGATATTTCCACACGGGTTTGGGAGCAATCGGATGTTTTCAGAGATTTTACCGCGAGGTTTGAATTTTGACGCTTGTCAATTCTGACGGTCATGGTCGTGTTGTATAGTAGGCAACACGTTAGGTAGATTTTTTTAAGTTCATCTGGCACGAACGGAGGGCAGCCGTTTACCACACTTGTTGTATAACATACTATTGAATGGCTTAAACAAACAGTAGTAGGTGAAGTTTGAGTAGTACTTGATTGTTTTTTTTTTGTATACAAATTTACCTTTTTTAAAATGCTGATTATAAGAATATTGTGTGTCCAATTATTTTTTGCCCATTTTGCATTTTTTATTTTAAAAATTTTAACAAACCACTAAAGTAGAACTTCATCGTTCTGCTATGGGAAAACTATAGCTAACTATAATTGAATATTTGCAATTATTACTGCAATCGTGTGTGTAAAGTATTTTCAAGATGGCGGCTCATCCGAATATGCCGGAAGTGTTTGTAATTTTTTTTATTTTAAATGGAACACACTACATATTATTGCTTGAATTGAATTAATATGTATCAGTGAACATCAAATTAAAAAAAAAAGTTTTAAATGGAAATCACCTCTCTTGACAATTCTCAGTTCTGCTAATGCCACTTATCACAATCCACCAATTTATCTAACTCACTCATTTTTAATTATTAATATAATAGAGAAAATAGTACTACTATAACAAATTAAATATGTAGTTTACTAAATGCAACAATCAGAAAATATAAATAATTATATTTTTTGTGAAACGATCTTATGAATTTTGTATCCAAACAGTTTTTGATTATTCCGCTTTTTGTCATTTGGATACTTTACAGCAAATGTCAAATTATTTTCGATAAAATGTATTTAAACTATAAAAATTTAAAATTTTGTGTTAGTATAGCACAGCAAGTGTGGTAAACGGCATTTGATTTAAAAATTTTACTAAACGTGTCGCTATATTTTTTCTTCCAGTTTTTGGGTATATTTTTGCAAACCAACAGGAATACATTCACTGAAATGACCGTTAGAATTGACAAACGTTAAAATTCAAGCAGTGCGGTAATATCTCCGAAAACATTCAAATGCACCCAAATCCGTGCGTAATATCCCGGAAATGTCCAAAGTGACTCAGATCCATGGGAAACGCCGTGTATAATTAAGTATTTTACAGAAGGGAACTTAAGATCTTTGAACTTAAATAACTTCAAAATGGAGACAACTAAAAGCCTAAAATTTTCATAGTTAATGATAAAATGGTATCATAGTAGGTGAAAAAAAAACTTCAAAAACGAATGTTGCAAACAAGCCCGCGTAAATGATGCAGCCACTCTTTTGTTTTTCGTACCCTTGTATATAGCAAAGTGAAATTTGGTATGTATGTATATAATTAAAATGCCTATTTTTGGACATAAAAAGAATATCTGATGTCAAAATGACGGCAGCATGTCATTTTTTAAACGGTAAGAGGGGTCATGTGATACTTATTTTTAAAGGTCTTTTTACTTTCAAATTAAATAAATTCATTTTTAATTACAATTTAATTTAATGCAAATAATAATAATTATTTATGTAAAGTGGAGTGTGAATACAGCATTGGAGAGTGTCAGATCACATCAGCAGTTAGAATTTTTAATGTATGATATCCCGAAAAGTTCATCACGCGGTGATATTTCAGCAAACTGCAAAACATATTTTTTGCAAATGGCACTGTTAACATCAAAAAAGTTATCAACTGTACGCAAGTATCTTAGGAAACAAAAGTTTCACGGCTACAAATTAAAGTTAGTACATCAGCTATCAGAAACAATTATTCAGGTCCCAGACTATGCCCGATACGTATGATTTAGTGACGATTCAACATTTTATTTGAATGTAAAAGTAATGATGTATGTAAGATATTGGTGCTATTAAAATCCACATGTTTTTCGAGATAATCACACACAATATCCACAAAAAATAGTTTGGACGGGTTTACTTCGTCATCATATTGTTTGTTCAGCAGGACGTTGCGCTACCGCATTATTCAAGAAATGTTAGGGAATGGTTAAATGCTACTTTTCTTAAAAGGTGGATTGGAAGACGAGGCCCTATTGAATGGTCAGCTCGGTCGCCAGACCTAACACCCTTGGATTTTTTTATGTGCGGATATCTTATGTTACAACACAAAATTCAGTTGAAGATCTGAAAGACGAGAATTCGAAACGTTTGCAGTGTAATTCCCCCAGACACTTTGCAAAAATGTTAGGAGCCAGTATATTGACAGATTTTATTATTGTCAAAATGCACCAGGTGCTATTTTCGAATAAACCAAAACAGACGAATTAAATGTTCTCAAAATTGGTATGCGAATAGAACGTGACCCCTCGTACCACTAAAAAAAAATAAAATGGTGCCCTGCCGTGCTGACGTTTTGAGATATAGTTTTATGTCGAAAATTAGAGATTTTAACTATATGCGTGCATGTCAAATTTCACCGTGCTATATACAATTGTACAAAAAATAGAAGGGTGGTATTTATGGTGTGTGGGTAGGGTATTTATATATGTACATGGTGTAATGTAAAGGTGCCCTGCCCTGCTGACGTTTTGAGATATTGTTATATGTCAAAAATTAGAGATTTTAACTATATACGTGCATGTCAAATTTCACCGTGCTATATACAAGGGTACAAAAAATAAAAGTGTGGTATTTATAGTGTGTGAGTAGGGTATTTATATATGTATATATTTTTGAAAATAATAAACCTACTGGTCG